AACGGCGATGGTAGTCAACGGGAAGATCTAAGCGATTTGTCTAAAGTTTGTTAATTTATTTATTATTATAAATTTAAAAATAATATAGAATTTGTAAAAAAAAATATATTAATCAGTTATAATTAATCTTAAAAAAGTTAAAAGTCACCGCAAATTTATAAAATACTTTAATACGAAATTATTGAAATCACTTTTTTTTAGAATTGAATTCCCCCACAAAAAATTAAAGTTCAGTTGCCACTTGAAAAAAAAGATTTTCAAATACTTGGAAATTTTTTTATTAAAACTTACAATAAATTAAAAATGAAATTTATATAGTTTTTAATAATCTGAAATTAAATATTTTTAAATATAACAAATAAAAACTTAGTAAAATTATTTAAGGTAAAAGTAGTTTACAAAGTATTTAATATACTACTGATATAAAGTTTTTTCAAAAAAAAAATTAAAAAAATTAAAAAAATGAAATAATTGTAAATTAAATTAATTTTTATGAATCTTTAGGAATAATTTTTTTTAAAAAAGATGTAGAAATTAAAAAAATAACATTAAATTTAAATTAATTTATTAAAAAAAATTATAAATTTTTATAATAGAAATATAATAAACTAAAACAGTTGTAAGTTTTGTTTCTGTTTTAAAATAAATTATAATGTTAAACAAAAAAACTAACATTTAAGTTTTTAATAAATAGTGAAAATATAAAAAATCCAAATTAACAGTTGAATTAATTATAAATTATAAAAAAGTTTGATCCAAAATAAGAAATTATAAGTAAAATGAAAAATAAAAAATAAATTTATTGTACATTACTAAGTTTTTAATAATTCACTAATATAAATTTTTATAATAAAAAAAATTTAGAAGTAAAGTTTACGAAATTAAAAATTTAAAAAAAAAATAATTAATTAAGAAAAATTTGTAATTAACAAAGTGTTTGTTAATCTACTTACCCGCTGGGAAGGTGAAAAACCTTGAGATGATCCAGAAGTCTTTTTATTGAAGTTAGCCATAAAAAGCTGATACTTTTGTAAAAAAACCAAAAACTCATCGTATTGTTTTGTTCCAGAAACAATATAATCTTAAAAAAAAGATTTTAAAAATTAATTAATTTATAATTTTCTAATGAGCCTAAATGTAATATAATAAAATGAAATCTTTATTTTTTTAAAATGAAAATAATTTGAAAAGTAAACTAAGTTAGAGCGCTATAAATTTAAAGAAAAAAATTTCTGTAAAGAGTATAATTATTTAAAACAAATATTAAAGCGCTTTTCAAAATTTAATTGTCTTTTAAAAGAAGTTGCGAAGTAGAATAAATAAAATTACTAAAGCCATATAATAATTTAACTACAAATATTCTTGACGTGACTGGATTTAAAAATTGGGCCCACGTGATGTTTTATAACAGTTTATTATCAAAATATTATGAAGACAATTATTGTATATAAAATTAAAAAAATTTAATGTAAATTAACACGATCTCACTCGAATTTTCCAAAGAAAAAAAAAATTTAAGAATTTCTTAAAAGGAAATAAAATTATCCTAAAGTTAAGAAAATTTTAGTTCTCAATTTAAATAGCTATAAAAATTAGTATTGTTTTTCCTTATTTTTGCAAAAGTTTACTTTCTTTTATTGCTAATTTCTTAACATTAAATTAATAAAAAAAAATAATAAATTAAAAAAATATAATAGAAATTAAATTCTAGTAAAATTAATCAAAATACTCCTATTATATTTACTTTTTTATATAAAAATAGTTTGAAAACATTTTTTAACAAAATTTAAATAATAAAAGCTTAAAGTATAAATAATAATCTAGAAAAAATGAAAACGAACTTCTAAATAATATTATTAACGTGTAACACAACTATTTTATATCTAAATAACTAAAAGGATTAGCAAGAAAAATTATTTTTATTACAAAAAAGGTAATAAATTTTATTTTGCAAGTAAATATTAGCAACTCTTCCGTAAAAATTTATAAAAAAAATTCCAAGAAATTTAAATGAGTGTAACCACCTTTTTTTAAGATTAAGATTAATTTTTAATAATAATAAACTAAGACGAACAAGTTTTAAAAAAAATTGATTTTAATTTTTATACTATAAAAAATCGTAGTACCTCCTTTTTTAAAAAAAGCATCATTTAAATCGTCTAAAAAGTGGAACCAATTAATAATTTTCTAAAAGTTAAAATAAAAAATGAAGAATATAAAAGTTAATGGACATCACAACTTTCTAACCGTTTCTTCCATTTTCAATTGTCTTTTTGGTTCATCTCTAGTTGCTAGTGATAAATCTATATTATCGCTTATGCGTGACTTTTAAAATAATTTTTACCAACCAATCTTTCTACTTATATATTTTCTAAAATTATATATTAAAATAATTTGTTATATATATACCTTATAAAAATATTGTTAATAATATTTATTCAGGATAATTTTAAATTTTAATCTTTGTTTACTTAATAATAAATGCTGCTATATTTCTAGAATTTTTTAAACCTATCTATCTTAAATAATTTATTATATATTAAACTTATAGTTAGTATCTTTAATTTTACTATCTTTTTTTTGTTTATATATTAAAACGAAAACAACAAAAGCATCGTTACTTTAAGCAAAACTTTATTTTCATGTACTGCAGTTACCTCGTTTTTTCTACGCCGCCACGCAACACATTGAAGAGTTAGAGTTTGATTTTCTCTTATAAGCGACGATTTTTTAAGTTAGTTGAAAGCAAACTTATAGCTAATATGTTGCGTGCTCAGCGTCCTGTTATGGTTATAAGTAAGTAAAAAACATATTTTAGAAAAATAGAGCTGTTATAAATCTTAGAAAAATTAGTTTTTACTTTAATTTTAATCTTAAACATCGCAGTTTGAAGTAATTTTTTTGTGTTATGAAGAAGCATTTTTTTTGCGTTTACTAAGGAGTGTTTTATATATTTTTTTCATATTTACAGGCCAAAATGTCAAGAGAGAAGAAGGTTCCTGCATTCAAATTCAGAACATTAACGCTGCGAAAGCTGTTTGTGAAGTAATTCGAACTTGCCTGGGGCCAAAAGCAATGTTGAAGATGTTATTAGATCCGATGGTATACTTTTGTTCACCTTATATTTTTATAATTTTTTAATTTAATTCTCTTAAGGGAGGCATTGTTTTAACTAACGATGGGAATGCTATTCTTAGAGAAATTGACGTTTCTCATCCAGCAGCAAAGTCCATGGTGGAAATTTCAAGAACTCAAGATGAAGAAGTCGGTGACGGAACGACTTCCGTTATAGTTTTAGGTTTGTATATATAACTATTTATTATTTTTTCCACAAATTTATTTTTTTTCCTTCTTTTAAGAATTTTATCTCTATTTAAACTATTTGTTAAGTTTATTATAGTTTAAAAATTCGTTTGTGATATTCGTAAAATTTAAATTTACGTTAATATTACTTTTGTTGTAGCTCTCCTGCTAGTATTTAAAGCTATGTTTATACTTTTATTATTTTTTTTTATGATTACATTTTCTGTCTCGTATAATTATTTTTTTTACTAAAGCTGGTGAAGTACTATCCGTTTCAGAGCCGTTTCTCGAACAAAAAATTCATCCTACCGTCATCTGCCGAGTAAATTTACATCTACAAATAAATTTGTTTTTTATAGTATATAATAAATCTTAAGTTATATTATTATTTTTTTTTAAAAAAAAGTTTATTCTTAAGAATTTTATTTTGTTATTGCTTACTACCAAAAAGATTTAGTCGAAACTGTTTATAAATCAATACAATAAAGTTATAACTCAGGCAAATTTAAAAATTATTTATATATGGATGAATAAAAAAAAGTTCTTATTTATATTTTATATTGTAAACTTGTCTGTATTTTTATTAATAACTATAAGTGATTTATATAACTTCATATATAAACTAACTTGCTTTTTTAAAATTTTTATTTTTATTTTTTATTATAGTTTATAAAAAGTAATTTTTATTTTATCGGTTTACTATTTTATTTAATTAACTTTTTAATTTATAAATTTTACGATTTACGATTTACTTTTAATTTTAGTTATAAACTGTTTTAATTTTTTTAATTTTTAGATTAATTTATTTTTCTAGGCGTACTCAAAAGCTTTAGATGATATTTTGGAAATTGTAGACTCTATTGCCGTTCCAATTAATGTTAGTGATAAGAAGTTTATGAAGGCGATTGTTAAAAGTTGTATTGGCACTAAATTAGCGAAAGGTGTTTTCTTTATGGAGAAATTTATTAATTAGTTATTTTATTTTGAATTATATGAAAAGGTATATAAATTGTATTGAAATTTTTTTTAATTATAACTTTAAACTCAAATTCTGTTTTTTGTAGAGAATATATTTTTTGGTTGTTGAGGTCTTTAGGAATTTTTGTTAAAACGAACAAATTTTGAAAAAAAATTTAATAAGAATTGAATATATTTAAAATTTAGATTTCTAGAAAACTTTTTTGAAAAAATTTACTTGAACAATTATTAAAAATGGGATTTATTAGTTTTTTATATTTTGTAATTTAGAATTAAAATAAAAAAATTTGTAAATTAATATTTTTAAATTAGTTAAATTTTATTATGGACTCGCACTTTAAAGGAAATTTAATTTAAATAAACTCATTCTTTTTACTACTTTTTTACTGGAAAAATCAGTAAAGTAAAACGATTTAATTTACATTTTTTATTTCTACTTATTATAATTTTTTAAAATTATTTTTCTAGTTGTAATATTTTATAATAAAATTTATTATTTGAAATAAAAATTATATTTCTAGAAAACTTTTATGAAAGAGATTAACTTGTACAATTATAATAGTTAGATATTTTATATTTTCAAATTTTAATCAATTTTAAAAAATTTAAAATTAAAATTTTATTTTTGATTGGTTAAGAAATTTATTATTTAATCACTTAAGAAAAATTATATTTAATATTTTTTTTTACTACTTTTTACCAAAAAAACAGTAACAAAATTTAATTTTTTTATTTTTTTTTAAAATTATTACTTTTACTTTAATCTTAAGAAATCATTTTTTAATGATTATAATTCTTTAATAATAACATATAATACTGCTGAATGGCATTTATTATAATTTATATGGTGGGTGAAATTGAATTGAAATTTTAAAACATTTAAAATAAATTTAGATTTTTTATTATTATTTTAATTGCTTTTCTTTATCAAAACATTTTTACTTATGGAGTTTTTTTCAGAATAAAAAAGTTTTTAAAAAATTATCTTTATTTTTTGTTCAGATTGTTTAAGATTATAGCTTTAAGTAATTTAGTGGTGAAGTTTTTATTATTTTTTTGATTATATTATTAGGCCCAAAAAAACTTTACTTTTTTTTTTAATAAAAATTTTAAAGTAATCTACATATAAATTAGTTATAAATTTTTATTATTATAGTATAAATCTTTGTGATGAAATTATAGTTCAAAATTTGTTATTTAAATATTATTATTATTATTAAAATATAATTTTTTATATTATCTATTATTATCAATATTTTTTTTTGAAATTTATATTTATCTAAATTTTTTGTGTAAAATTAAAAATTTGAAAATTTTATTTTTTTTTGTTTATAAAATATTTTAAAATTTTCTTTTTAGGAAAGTTATTATATATGTTTAATAATATATTAATCTATATATTCTACTATTATTAGTTATTGTTTTTAATTTTAATTTTAACCTAATTTTTTGGTGTAGTTTTTTAAAAAATTTATCTTAATTATTTATTTGTGCCTATAATTAATTAAAAGTTTCTTTTGTAAAATTTATATATTTTTCTAAATTATTTATTAATATTAATTTTTTTGAAAATCTATTTTAATATAAATTTTTTTTATATTTAAAAATTTGAAATTTTAATACTATTCAACTTTTTTATAATTTAAATTTATTTACAAATATTTATTGTATTTTGCTATTAATATAAAAAGTTTTAATATATATAAAAAATATTTTTGATTTTAAAATAAATTTAAATTTGTTTTAAATTTTATCTGAAATTTCTTTTTCTTTTCTTTATCTCTTCCGTACTATATTATTTTTTTTCTTGTTTAACTTTTTTATTTCCTATTTATTTATTATTTATTATAACTACTTTTAAAATTGTGTTATATAAATTTTTTAATTTAAATTTATTAAAAATTAAATTATCTTATAAATTTCTTAAACAATTTTTATGTAAAAAAAATGTTTATAACTTTATAGAGTTAATTTTAAAAAAAGTATTATTATTGTTTGGATTTTTATATTTATATAAAATAATTTATTTATTTATGAAAGTTGATTTAAATTTTTTAACCGATCTCTTTTTATAATAATAGTATATAACTTTTTATATTTAATTCTTAATAATTTGTTTATAATTATTTGGGATTTTTATATTTTTATATTAATATTTATATTTAATCTCTAAATTTGAATTTTTTTATTTTCTTAAACAATTTTTTATTTAAAAAAATATTTTTATAACTTTTTAAATTGAATTAAAAAATTAAGTTTTAGATTTTTTTATTTATTTTTACTAAATAATAATATATTTTGATTTCGGATTTAATTCACTATATAAATTTATTAAACAATTTTTTATCTAAAATATATTTTTATAACTTTTTAGATTTAATTAAAAAAATTTAACTTTTTTTCTATTGTTTTGGATTTTTTATATTATATTATTTATATAAAAGTTATAGGAGCGACACAGTTTTATTTTTGCAAATATTTATTAAACTTTGATATTTTTTCCAGATCTTTTATAAAACGTAATATATATAAAAAAGGTTTTTATTAGTATTAAACCAGAAATAGTCGAGATTATTTTTTTTAATTAAAAATTTTTCTAAAGTTAATCTAATTTAACTTTTAAATTAGTTTATATTTTTATTTTTCTTATATTTATTAAACTTTGATATTTTTTTAGAACTTTCACAAAATTCTATAAAAAAGTTTATTAATATAAAACGAAAATTCCGAGATTATTTTTTTTAATTCAAAATTTTTTTAAATTTTATTTCATTTTACTTTTAATTTAGTTTATAAAGTTTACGATACTTTTTAAAATATTTAACTGTATATATAATAAATATAATAGTATATGTTTAGTATTACTATTTTACTTTTTGTAATAAATTTCATATTTATATATATTAATTTTGATCATTTTAAAGTTTTCTTATTTCTTATTTAAAAATAATATTCTACACGAGAAACTTTTTATAAAAGTTTATATATTATTTTCTATTAAAATTATTTTGCTGAAATCAAAACTTTTTTATTTCTTTTGTTTCAGGTCAATTCCATCATTTTATTAATTTCTTTCTTCTATATTTTTTTAATAAAATTTTAAAAAAAAATTGTATCAAACTATAAAAAAGTAAATTTATATTTTTATTACTATTACTTAATCTTTTTATTGTAGAACTATTCAACTATTATATATAACTTTATTATTATTATTACCGTATTCTTTAAGTTATACATTTTAAAAGTTGTTTTTTATTTTTGCGTACTTATTTATATAAATTTGAAAGAAACTTTTATATATTATTTATAAATTTATATAATATATAATATATAAACTTTAAAGTAAATACTAATAAATTCATTTTATTTATTTTATGGATGTTCCGGTGTAACTATTAATATTTTTTATTAATAAATATTTAACTTGAGTAAACTTTTCTAAAGGAAAGATGTTACTTTTTAAATATATATAAATTTTAATATTTTTTATACTATTTTTAAGAAGAATAATAATTTAGTCATCTGGAAAAATTATAAATTCATTATTATATATTTGTAAATCAATGATTTTTGTGAAGACCGGGATGATATAATTGGCGGCATTATTTTTATTTATAAATTATAATATTTTTTATTTTTTTTATGAGAATAATGATATTTTTAGTCTTCATTTATATTAATAATAAAAGATTCATTATTTTTGTTTACAATCACTAATTTTTGTGAAGGTCAGGACGAGATTTCTGGCGGCATCTTTTTCATATAGATTATTATTTCTTTTATTTTTCTTAATCTTTTTATATATATTTTTTTAAATATAATGAACTTATTAACATATTTTCATATACAACCAATTTTTGTGAAGGTTGGGACGACATGATTTGCGATATTGCGCTTAAAACGGTGGATATGATCCATGTGGACGCCCACGGACGTCACGAGATAGACCTGAAGCGCTACGCCAAAATTGAAAAGGTATGCACGTGTTATTTTGCAATCCCTTATCCTTTTTGTATGAAAGACTCATCCTTCCGTCCACCCGGCAGATCCCTGGTGGCACCGTTGAAGAGTGTAGCGTGTTAGACGGCATTATGCTTAATAAAGACATCACGCATCCGAAAATGCGACGGCGCATTGAGAATCCGCGCATAGTACTTCTTGATTGTCCTTTGGAGTATAAAAAAGGCGAGGTGGGCATGCCCTTCATTATTTTTACTGATGCCAATTGATCGTAAAAACCAATACAAATAGTCGCAAACCAACATTGAGCTTATGAAAGGAAGCGATTGGGCCACTATACTGGCTCAGGAAGAAGAGCTGGTTAAAAAAATGTGCGATGACATTATTGCTGTGAAGCCCGATCTCGTTTTTACTGAAAAGGGCGTATCCGGTACATAAAATATTCTTTCATTTTTTTAATGAAAATAAAAATTCATAAAAATTAAGATCTCGCGCAGCACTATTTTGTCCAAGCCGGTATTACGGCTATTCGGAGGCTTCGGAAAAGCGATAACAACCGCCTTGCACGTGCTTGTGGCGCTAGAATTGTGTCGAGGCCTGAAGAGCTAAGCGATTCTGACGTTGGCACGGCAGCGGGCCTTTTTGAAGTCAAAAAAATTGGCGACGAGTAGTTTCTTTTTTTTAAAAATTAAAATGAAAAGTTTATCTGATTGGTAAATTAGTTATTTCTCGTTTGTTACTGGCTGCCAAGAGGCAAAGGCATGCACTATCTTACTACGCGGGCCTTCAAAGGATCTTCTTATGGAGCTTGAAAGAAATCTGCAGGATGCTCTGCACGTATCGAAAAATATAGTCCTTGACCCGCGCCTTTTGCCAGGCGCGCCCTATTTTTTTGCTAGTTTTTATACTATTTATTAGAGTCACTAAAATAATTGTTTAAGTATGAGTCTTAAGATTTAAGTATGTTTTTGGGCAGGCGGAGGCGCTACGGAAATGGAGCTTGCTAGTCGCCTCCAAGCTAAAGCCAATCAAATTGAGGGCATTGAGCAGTGGCCATACCGAGCCATTGCACAGTCGCTGGAGGTGATTCCCAGGACTCTCGCCCAGAATTGCGGCTCCTATGTTGTCCGCACCATCACGGAGCTGAGTGCCAAGCACTCGGAAGAAGGCCACGTATTTGTGGGCATTGATGGAGAGAGCGGTCAACTGGCGGATATGAGATCTCTGGGCGTCTGGGAGCCAGTCGCAGTGAAAAATTCCATTTATAAAACAGCCATTGAGGTGGTTTATATTTCTTTTAAACACAAAAGTTTTGTTAATTTTTAATTTTTAATTTAGTTTCTTTTTCGTGCGTAAAATTTTATTTTTATGATTTCCAATTTTTATATAAACTCATTAAAGAACTAACAACTTTTCTATAAAAACTAAGTCTGCTAAAATGCTGTTGCGCATAGACGTGATTGTTTCAGGAATGAAAGCTAAAAAGAAGGATTAACTTTTTGTAATAAACTGAATTATATTTTTTTGGCTTTTACTTTTTTATTTAATTTTTTTTGCAATTTTGATTTTATTGTAAATTGTTAAATATTCAAAATTATTTTTATGAATTTAAATTTAAAATTTTTACTGTTCGCAAAAGCTATTTAAATTATATTATTTTTAAATTTTAAATAAATTGAATTTTTAAATATTTAAAATTATGAATTTTTTGGGGATACTTTAAAATTATTGAATTGTTGATTAGTATCTCAGTAAAACTTAAAAATATTATTAATACTTTGCGCTTACGTTTAGATTTTAGTAAATATTAGGTATATCCTTAAAAGCGCTTAAAAATTAAAAAAAAAATTAATATTTACTTTTGTATTGCCTTGCAGTTATAAAATTATTGTATAATCTACATTTTTAATAAAGCGTACTTCTTTTTACGTTTATCTATAAAAATTTAGTTTTAAGTAAAATCAAGTTAATTTAATTTATTTTTAATAAGTTATAATCATCCAGTAGAGAAGCGTTTTTACATACAGTACGTATTAAAAAATTTACTAAAGTATGCAAGGTTACTATGCTTGTTAAATATAATTGTACATTGAGATGACAACAAGCTAAGTGCGTTTAACCTATTGTAAAAATCAATGGATTAGTAAAAATTAAAGCGTTTTGCTTTAAAACTTTTATAATAGCTCGCAAATTTTACATGTTAAAATAAAAAATTAAAATTAAATTTTTTAATAAAAAAGAGCTTTACTATTTACAACAATAGAGCTTCTTATTCAGATTTAAAAACAAATTAATAATGTTGAGTATAGTTTAAAGATCTGGAGGGAAAGGTGAATTATAAGTTGCTTTAATTTAATTTTTATACTGAAACTACTATAAAATTAACTGTTTAATAAGGATAAATTTACACTTTAGAGGGGGCGCCCATCGAATTGTGATATAAGCTTATAATTAAAATAAAATAGGTTATAACTGAAAGTAATTATTTTTTAAATGCAATAAAAGTTAGATGGTTGGTGAAAAGTTAACGGTTGCAATTCATATTTTAAGCAACCAAGAAAGACGCATAAGAATGAAAATTAATCGTTTTTTGTAAAGAATTTGAAATTTTCAAAAGTAAACATTAAGGTAAAATGGAAATTACTATACGATTTATAAAAAGTCTACTGTTGTTGAACGACCATAAAAAATGCACTTAACTTGAATCCAAAGCGCTTTCATAAAAAAATTAAAACTTTACATGTAACTTTTAAGTTAAATACTTTAAATAAGTGAATGCTTAAGTGTAGCAACCCTAATAATAAACTGAAGAGCCGGCTAGCACGGAGTACTAAAAGGGACACACCATCGTAAGAAACAGACTTTTTCTTAAAATTGTTATAAAAAAATGCGTGCCCTGTGAGATTCGAACTCACGCGTGCGAAGCACAATGGATTAGCAGTCCACCACCTTAACCACTCGGCCAAAGGCACGGCAACGGCTGGTCTCCTCATAACTTTAAATATAACTATCTTAAATTATACTTTTATATTACTTCAAAGTTACTGAATAGTTTTTGTAGCTTTTTAATAATGTTTAAGTTCTACAAACATTAATCTATGTTTATTTTTTCGTAACATTGTTATTGTATGAGTATACTTGCACAGTTAGTGGTGTCAAAAGATTCTCGTAATGATTAGCATCCATTACCTAAATAACTCATTTGTAACCTATTACAAATTGCACGCAGATTGCATGGTAACATTAATATATAGGTTAATAAATCAAAAGCTAATATTACCTGGAAGCCTATTCCTCTCTAAGGTTTTTTTTTGTGACCTAAAAAGTTTCCAGCTAAAGTTTAATAGCTCTTGAATTTTATATATTTATTTATTAGTAGAGAGCAATGTAGTTGAAAAGTTAACTCAGAAAGGTAAAAAATTTGAAACATTTTTGAAAACTCCCGACATATATTATGCAACTTATAAAAGTCCCAGCAAGACACTTTAAGCAAAGGAAATATATATATATAGTCATGTAACTTTTTGCAAGCTGTATTTCTTTAGGCTTGGCTTGCCTTAGGCATATAACTATTTATATTATGTAGAATGACAGTCTGCGCTTGAGTAAAAAAAATAATTATTGTAGTTATTCCTGATGAAACCTGCTTGAAGAGTATTATTTTAAATTTTTTCTCCATTTTTGACGGAATATCCCACGCATAGGTAAAGCGGATCAAATTATATTAAAAAATTTTAGTGCATTATTCTGTCAATAACAATTTTGTACGTCAAAAGGATTGATACCTCCCAACATTTTGTAACTGAATAGGCCTTGTTTAATTTGCTTCGCAATTGCCAAAGTAAGTTTTTATCTAGAAAGTCTTAGCTTAATAAAGATTAATAATAAGCAAGACTGGAGTCCACTGAAGCCTTCTCCCGAATAAACTAATTGATAGAGAAAACAAGGTTTTATATGTTGCCGACTTTTTTTCAAGTCTATGGTCATCTTTTTAAAAGTTTAAAATCTTTGCGTAACCAAATGAGTGCTATTTTTGCCTTACTGACAATCAACGTTTTTAATATAATCATAGAGATTGTCAGGTAAAAACTAAAGTATGCAACAAGTTTTATTAATATTTGTTGCTGCTTTAGAAGATTTTTGTTTAGATAGCTCATAATTGTACGCTGCGCAGTTTCGTTCTTTTACCTGATCAATTTTTTTAAACATGTATACGCCCCCATCCAGAGAGCATACAAGCATTAGATGATTGAGTCAAAAGGGTTTAGAAACGCACTACGTTAAACAAATCTTAATAAATGTCTAAAACATTTAAAAATTCCAAGTGAGAGCGGAGTAGGTAAGGAAGAAGTCGTGCTCAGTGATTACCCTTATAAAAATTGCTACGAAGCATTAATCACATGCAACTTAAGTAGATGAAAAAGCTACTGTATTCTAAACAGTTTAAGTAAGTCATATCTTGTACTCTAATTTATTGCACAGTTGAGAAGTAAATTTAGTTGGTAGAGGGATAGGAAACCTGGAACATTTCGCTATTAAAAAACTGTCGCTTTACTCTTAAGTATTTTGGTTTTATTTCCATTTGTAGTCTTAAGCAATTTTTTAACGCCTTGCATAAAGTTTATAACGTGTTCTTAAGTACTTCATTTCTTAGTTCGAAAAGCTTCTGTTTCCATTATATATATTTTTTTAAATTTGTAATTATTTTAATTTAAAACAAACCTCTTAGTGGGAGAGGAACTAACAAAAAACTGGTACGATTCTGAATTCTTTAGTGCAACTTAAATTTACGCGAAAAGAAAAACGAATATTATAAACATAGAAATCGACTTATTATTAAATATTAATAAAAAAATGATAAATAATGCAATATTATTACTTTTATAAATATTTATAATTAAATGTAATCGAATAATTAAAAAGTTATGAGAAAGTTTTATTTTAACATGACTTTTAAAATTGTTAAATATATTTAAATTAAAATACTCTTAGTACTTTAATATATATTTTAACAACTAAAAGTATGATGCATTATAATTAAAAACCTAAAATTTGTAAAAATATAATTTATGATGAAAAATAAAAAACTTAAAAAAAAAGTTTTTATAAATGTAATTATTATTTTCAACTGAAAGCCTAGCATTGCAAGAAAGAATGAAAATTCTAAAACCAATCATTCAAAATAATTATGTTAAACGCTCTTGTATAATTAGAAAAATGGGTAATGGTAAGTTTTTTTTTACACTTAATATAAACTTTAAACAGTTCCCAGATAACATACTATTAGGCACAAGCAAGCGGTAAACCCTGCAAAACTACGAATACAATGCCGAGCAAAAGCCAACTTTGCGGTAAAGATCATGGTTTTTAAAAATATGACGCAAATATGGATGCTGAATATTTTTACAGCAAACACCAGAAAAAAAATTTATTTAAAAATAAAATTTCGTGCTTGAAGAGTTTGCATGCACCCAGCACCCAATTAAGTTGAATAAGAAAATTTTTTTATTGCACATTGACTTTCCATTAAATGAAATATATTTAGAGTGGGGCAGAGTGCTTCCTACCAAATACAATTTTTTGACAAACTTAGTAGCCGGTTTAAATTGTTTATGAAAACTTATAAACAAAAACAGCCATATAAATATAGTTTCGCATTTAACAAAAACATTAATCATGCCTAGTACGAACAGTGACAGCTGAAAATTGACGGTCACAATAAACAAGTAATATTTATGACTTTGTAACGTTTTATGGTCTTTAAACTAAATTCAAAACTGTTACAAATTTTTTATTATTACTTGTCACTTCTGTTTAGTCTGTTTATTTTTCCCGCTTAGCAACGAGCAAAAAATTTATCTGTAATATTAAATTCATATATATAATTATAAAGCACCCACCTTATTTTAATTTTATTATGTAAAAAAAATTGTTAGAGACAAAAAGGGTCCTGTTATAATGCTCTGCCGTACGAAGAGCACGATGACAGTTTTACTGGTAATTTAAACTACATTAGGGCAATAAAAACACGCCTCTAACGGTTTTTATTTAAACTTCCTTACCTAAAATCAAGCAGAAAACTTTAATAATTGAACGAATGGTAACTTAGCGTTTCACAATAAAAGTTCTGAAGAAACGTTAAAGTAACATCAGTACGTGCGCTTCTCTAAAAAAGTTTAAAGTTTATGACAAAGTTCAATTTTTTACAATATAAAGTAAACAAATGCTTAATAATCAAAAAGATAATAACGCAGGCAATATATATATATTTGGTTAGAGAAAACACATTACAATGAAGATAATTTCTTTTTACCTCCCCAACGCACTATTTTTTTTATAGCTGATTGGGCTAAGTTATTTATTTTAAAGAAATTAGATCAAGGTATGAGCAAATTAAGAAATTTCATTTTTAATTGGTTCTTAAACAATTCTTTCCATACGAATTTTTACACGTTGCAAAAGACTTTTTTTAGTGGCTCTGTATGTATATTTAGCAGCTTTTAAAAATAAAGAAATTTTATAAGTAATGGTGCAGTCCAGTCCTGTTAAACCTTTTGTTTATGTTGTTGCCGCAATCGCTGCTTTAGGAGGTTTGCTTTTTGGTTATGATATAGGGGGGAGTGGCGGAACTTTAATATTTCAAGGCTTTCGGAGACACTTTGGATGGCCGGATGTGCAGGTTGGAATAAAAGATTCTTATGATGTGTCCGTTCAAAAAGCGTTGATCAGCGCCTTCTTTACACTGGGAGCTTTAGTTGGAGCACTTCCATCAGGAGCTTTGTCTGAACTATTCGGGCTTAAAAAAATTATCATGTCAAATTGTGTGATATTTACTTTTGGAACCTCCCTTCAAGCTTCTGCTATCAACATTTACATGATGTGCACTGGAAGGTTTATTGGTGGAATTGGCGTTGGAGCTCTAAGTGCACTCGTACCAACTTATCAGTCAGAAATAGCGCCTGAAAAAATTCGAGGTGTTTTGGTCACTATGCAACAATTAAGCATTACAATAGGAATAGTTTTAGCTGGAGCTGTTAATTTGGGCTTACGCTGGCACGACTGGGGTTGGCGCTTTTCTTACGGCGGAAATATTATATTTGCTGTGATAATGTTTGTGGCCTTTATATTTATGGATGAGTCTCCCCGTTGGTTAGTCCGCAATAACGAATATGAAAAAGCAAGAAAGGTCTTTTCTAAAATAAGAGTAAAGGGAGATATTGACATGGAGCTTGGGAGAATTAAACAAAAAATTGAAAGCGCTGAAAAGGTTGGAAGTAAAAGTTGGAGAGACGTTTTCAGTGGGAAAAATAAAATGAGACATCGTTTATTTATTGGATGCGGAGGTCAGTTTTTGCAGCAGTTATCCGGTATTAACGCCATAATGTTCTTTGCACCCTCAATTATTTCAGACTTCTTTGGTCAGGATGCGTCTTTATATGGTAATCTTGGCATTCAAGTAGCAAACTTCCTAGCAACTTTTATTTGTTTGGCATTAATTGAAAGAGCTGGTCGCGTGACCCTTCTTTTAACAGGAGCTTTTGGGATGTTTGTGAGTACCATAGTGGTCTGTATATTGTCCTCTCCATTATTAAACTATAAAGGAAACAGTGATGTCGGTAATGGCATCATTGCTTTTTGCGTTATATATGTAATTTTTTTTGCTTACTCCTGGGGCCCTATAATATGGGTTGTTTGCTCGGAAATTTTCCCTTCAGATTTGCGAGGAAAAGGAATGGGCTTAGCAACCGCAACTAACTGGCTTATGGCAACTCTTGTGGGTGTAATTACCCCAATAATGATCGACTCAAAGTTAAGTTTGTGGGGAACTTTTTTGTTTTTCTCCGTATGGAACTTATTATCAATTTTTTTTGCTGCCGTGGTCCTTCCAGAGACTGCTGGTCGCTCTTTAGAAGATATGAATCTAGTTTTCGATAATTTTAAAGCTGGATCGAACCTAAAAAAATTTTCTTTCCTTAGAAGCCCCTCTAAAAGTAGCCCACAATTGTAAAAAATAAAATTTTAATTATAAAAATAATAAACCAAACTTTAATTTAAAAAACTGGAAATAAAAGCGATAATTATCCTCCTTTCGATTGGTGATGGAATTTTTACTGTTAAAATAACCTTAAGTTTAAGGAGATATATTTTTTTGTGTATAATATTTTTTTAAATAAAGTTTTTTAATTTAAATGGGATACTGTATACCTCCACGCTTACTTTTTTGCTTCGTATTTATGTCCGATGCTACTCCCCATTAAGCTAACTGTTTTAAAGGAAGAATTAATTTTTTGCAAGTTTAATCATTAGCAGATAACTATAAGGTGTAATTTTATTTATAGAGATTAATTATTAAAGTTCATAGCATGTAAATATATTTAACCGGAGATGTTCTAAATTAATTATCATAAAAGATATATTTGGTTTGGAGGAGGCTAACTTAATAACATTACCTGGTCTATAAGGAATTTTAGGTACGTGCTCACGACCTTAATTTTAGTAGTTTCCCACCACACAAAACCTAAAGACAGGAGTCGGCCCGTAATGTTTCTTCGCTGCCTCTCTGTCTTCTAAGAGAGTAATTACTGTTGGGTCCTCCTACATAAAATCTAATTTAAAGATGAGGTCTTAGAATCGAACCGTAGTATGAAGATAAAAAGGGAGGGTACTCAGTATGCCGGCTTCCAGCTAGCTGAAGCCTTGTAGTTATGATTGTTGGTAAGTTAACGAAGGCCGACAGGCGTTACGTTATCATGTTTAGTTAAAAATCAAAACTTTGCTGGTCATAATATATATATATTTGGCTAAAATATTTGAAGCTCGCATAGAAGCCTCTTTCATGCTAGGCCTCCATCCTCTTCCACTCCACTCACTCACATATAGTTGTATCAACGCATTACTGTGTTGGTGCTGTACTACACTTGCACTTTTACGGTATACAAATAACTGAACTTTACCCTTTGTAGTTTAATTGGAGGCGACAAATATCCCTTGTAAAAGGATTTGTTCTAAGCTGGTATGCCATGTTTATGCTAAAAAACTAATTTAAAGCGGCTATTTGATCAAGTACATTCTGATTTTAACACTATAATCCCCATAATTGCTCTGTTGAGAGTAGTTTTTCTAAGCAAAAAGAATTAAATTTTCAAAAAGGCTAGTACTAGGCCAAAAACTATGGCCAGTGTCAACAAAATTTCGCTTTTTATCACAAAGGAAAAGATGCTTTTTCTACATTTGAAGCGATAGTGAAACTATTTTATTTTCCTTGCTGAAGAATAGCAAATCCCAAACTTTTAAAAATGATAGATGGTATAGCCTTCTAAAGAAGTATTGTTGGGAAGAAAATAGATTAGAGAGCAGATGTTGGTAAACGTACTTTCTCTTGCTTTGGGTGAGAGAACCGATGTACCTGACACTGCTCAATTGTGTGCGTTTCATCTACCCTTTACTTCGTCTGTTTCTACTACTGCACTTGCGTCCAATTCATAAAATTTATAATCTGCAATTTTTAGTAAAGACAAGACCTCTTTGTCTACAAGGCGCATATCGTTCAAATTCGTAGCATAATAAACATTTTGAACCGTACGGTTAAGTTTTTAGCGGAGAACTAATTCCTTGCATTGGAATTATTTATGGTATTTTGACCAAAGTCTGTCTACATGGTTTTCCTTTAAACCGAGCTTATGCGATTCTTCTTTGAATTACTAGTCCGTAGATAGTAAGCAAAAAAGAGCAAAAACACCCAGCGAACAACTACAGACAAAAAACAGAGCTAAAAGAGAGAAAAAACCCCTAAAAACCATCGCTGGGAGAGGCGGCCTTAGGCACAAGTTCCGAGGCCGCCTGGGGACACTGGCAGTACAACTGCCAGCCAGGCCTTCCCGATTATGAACTCCTCTCCCAGAAGGGAGGGGCTCCCCTCTAATTTATTATATTTATGTAATTTGTTAAAGACAGTTCCTAGTGCTCGATCGAGTTAAAAACTTCGAATACTCGAGCACTCAGGCAGGAGTGGTTTCAAATGTATTACAAAAAGCGTTAGGGTGCCATTATTTTTCTACATTAACATTAAAAAAATTAGTGCTTATGACACGTGATCGGCAATAAAAGTGCCCCATCCCATGACCCGTAAATAAGTTTGCTCACCAACAAGCGATTAGTGTGCCTGGGGGGCCTGTCGTAAAGGACACGTCATGGAATTGGAAGACAAAGTTTACAAAGTCCAGTTGAAGGCCCCGGTGAAGAGCTTCACTTCGCACAAACCACGTCGCCTTTGTCAGAACACGCAGCAATTTGTTCTGCGCACTTGAAACGGCGCCAATACAGCAGTAAAGTCGTAGGTCCAAGCAGCATATGTGCATGTAATTTTGGGCTGGATGTAAGACAAATACAATTGCCTTCTGTTTCACAGAGAAAGCTTACTCTTGCCTCAAAGGATAAAGTGCCTTGGTTGCTGCCTTGACCTTCGCAGCTACATAGTCCATGTGAGACCGCCAGGAAGTTTTGTTGTGGATGGTGACTTCCAGGTATTTCGCTTGAGAACACCATGGAACCTTCATGCCATTAAGGGTTAAGGGGCACCAACAATGAAACGCGTCTCTTTGAAATTAATATAGCTTTGCTCCTCATCACATTTATAGTAACAACCTTCCAAGCATGGCACCAGGCAGTCAAGAGCGCAAAATAGCGCTGCGGACGCTTGCATAGCAAGTCGGGAGATTTTGAAGAGGAATATAAGGTCGTATCATCAGCGTATAGGGCGATTCGTTTGTGTAACTCGGACGACAAGGGCACTTCGTTCATGTAAACTGCAAAAAAGGGGGCGAGAGGAGTGACCCCTAAGGGGCCTCTGCTGTCATAGATCGCAGCGGTGGTCGTGTATCTCCCATGCGCACGCGGAAGACGCGATCATTCAGATATGATTTCAGAACGTTATAAATGCCATAAGAAACGGATAACAAGTGCAGTTTGTGCAGCTGATCTTCATGCCAAACTTGATTAAATACCTTTTCAACTTCAAGAAGGACAGCGCCTGTTGTCTTCTTATGGTTAAAAGCGCAAGTGGATCAGTTAAGCGGTGAAGCTGCTAGGGCGTTGAGTGTCCTTGCCGGAATGCAAACTGAAACTCCGGACAAGTTTTCTGAGAGTCAACGACCTCTTTAAGACGGCGCTGTAAAACGGCCTCTCTCAGTTTGCCAGCCGCTAAGAGTAGCCTGATGGGTCGGTACTTGCTAGATGCTGATTCCGGCTTTAGTGTTTTTGGTAGCATCACATCGATCGCCGTTTTCCATCGAATTGGAAAGGCGCCAAGGAGCTTTGAAGATTTCATAAGGAGATAAAGATAGTGCATTCCTATTAATGGCATTTTATACAGCATCCCATTATTGATGCCATCGGGGTCAGACGCTTTTTGTTTAGGTGGCGCTTCAACAATTGCATGCACCTCGTCAACATTAACCAGATTAAGTGGTTCGTAGTTAACGGGAAAGGGTAAGCTCAGCTGGAGGAAGCATCGTCATCAGCAATATAGTGAGCAACTGGCACGTTTGTATAGCAAGGAAATTGGCGAAAAGTGCAACTTTATCACCATCACTCCCGGCCACTATACTTCCTTCACGGAGATGCAGTAGTGGTGCAAGCCCCCTATTTTTGATCCTTTTAACAAATTTCCAAAAGGAGGAGCGGCTGCTGCCTGATTCTGATATACGATCCAGTTTGCTCTCCCATTTATTGTTATAAATGGACCATTAGCTTTTTTCTAATGCACCTGTGAAGTCGATTAAGCGCAAATTTGTCTTCGGCGCTCTGAGACAACATGGCTACCCGAATAAGACTTCGACATTGGCAGGTAAGTGCCTTTAGGTCGTCTGACAGGCGGTCGGAGCGGTACATTACTTCACGCGCTGTCGTGGAAGTAGTGCGAGTATGTTCAGTGCAGTTTCGAAAAGGGCAACAGTACCATCCAGCAGGGCAGGGGAGGACGGTAATGACGGACAGCGTGGTTTTCTAATACATCAGCATATTTATCTAATTTGGTAAAAATAGGGGTAATGGTCTTTGTTGCCCTTCTCATCCCCTACACAAAGAATAACTGGAAGGTGATCGGAGGACAGCTCGTGAAGCGCTTTAATTACCTTGAGACGTATAGCTTTTAGTATGGCGACATCTAGTACGTCCATTGTGTCTGTAGTAGTCAAGTTTGTTGGTTGCCAGGGGCCTAGTAAGCCCAGCTCGTGCTCATCAGCATAGGCACCAAAGATGTAACCATTCGAATTATCGGCTCGGCTGTTCCATGTAGGGTGCTTGCAATTAAGATCCCCGCACGGAGCAGAAGAAGCACTCCCAACGATGGTGTCCAAATCGGAGGGCAGAAGTAGCTTCCAAGGGGATTTGTAAACAGTGTCAGCGACGGCGCCCTGGTCGGCCATAGGGAAATTCCCGCTGCCTCGACCCTTGTAGAGCTGGCATAGTTATCGTATGATGTCGAATACCCCGTTTCACCAAGACCGCCCCGCCGGAGTCATCAATTCCGTCTTGGCAATACGTAACAAAATTGCACAAATTAAATACGATGTTAGGAAGGTGAGTCTTGTTGATGGTGCACACAACAATTATTTCTCGTCTTAACAGCTCCTGAAGCTCGTGCTTCTTACTCTGAACACCATGTGCATTCCAAAATAGAAGTCGGATGGGCGGCGCGTCATTGGCTTAGAAACTGTAGCAAACAGATTCCAGACCTTTCACAGTTTCAAGCATGCTGTATAATTTTGTCGTTAAAATGGCTAATGTCTGCCGTATTGTCGGCTGCAACTGTTCAGCTTTCGCCGTAGAAGAGCGGCCAGAGACTTTAAAACTTAACGGGATTTGAGCAAATCTTGATGAGGTTATGTCCTCAAGGGAGAGGCGTAAGAGATCCCTGGGATAACTATATTGTTTGTAGTCAGCGCTGACGAAGTAAAGTTTGGGGCTGACGGGGTACATTCTGCGGTCAAATGACCACTCCCCCCCCCCGCATTTAACGCACCGACATACCGCAGTGCAAAAAAGCTTGCAGGTTTGGCAGCGGTGGCAATGTCATTGCGACTGCTTTTTTTAAAGTTCTTCTACTTTGATCTGAAGATGTTAGATAGCCTTCATCTCTAAAAGCTTTTGTTGCTCCTTACTGGGTATATGCGCCAGCTCTAGTGGTAACGGACGCTTCTTCCGCTCACCATTGACAGTGTCCCCCGTCTGCATCCGTGCCACTCGGAGGGGTGTGAAACCTTACGTGGACAGATCCCCCTCGAAGGAGGAGATATCGAGTTCGCAATAATTCACAAATAATAAATTTGTGGCTTGCCTTAAGGTAATTGAATAGGTGAAATATTGAAATTCTTGCTTGCGCATTATCTCTGTGATCGCACGGTATTCTTGAGCTGTTGTCGGCAATACTTTAATTCCAAGAGGAGTGTCTCTTGAACTCGAGATTATGGCACCGTTGTATTGCAAAAGTTGTACAGAAAGGAACTACTTTTGTTTTCCGCAAACGGTAATAGGAGGGATTTTCATTTTATGAGTTCGCAACGGAAATTCTGCAGTAGATGGTCGTTCATCAAAATGAAGGACAGTGTCAGAAGCGCTGCCCATCTCTCTGTCTACGTTATCTTGTAAAGCTTTTGTGCTCTTCTCTGTGTCTCTAATGATATTCGGGTTGGAGAGAAACTTACTACTATCCTTACTATTAAGAATATTTCTATTTTCATTGCTGGACACATTTTTATTGATATTAGTGTTGCTGTTAACTATTATATGACACCAGTATAGGAACTACAGACATATGGTTATTGCTATTACCACTATTATCCTTAATATGAGCTATTTCCCTGAGACTAGACTCGCCTTTTGTAATCTTTAGAATCTCGCTATCGTCCAGTACTACTCGGAAGCACCTGGTTGATCTAGAACTTTTAATGCCGAAAATACATTATTATTGTTAGTTGTATTATCAAAAGGTTCCTTCGGCCTTTTAGACTTATTTTTCGTCCTGAGTGTTTTTAGTAACTTCAAGAAGTTTTACCTTTGTAGAATCTAACTCTTTTTGAGTCCTTCAATAATAACCAACAAGTTAGCATTGAATGCTGGAAGTTCTTCTTCAGAGGACAGGCACATAATTAATATAAAGATAAATATATATTTTTTTAAAAATAGAGGTTAAAGGGAAGAAAAAATAATAATATTTAAAAAAAATAATAAAATAATAAATACATAATATATACATGGTCTGTAATATAAAGTCAGTAGTTATAATTTACATAGTTTAAGTTTTCTAAAATGTATAAGTATATATTGAATAAAATTGAATAAATGGCTAAAAAAAGTAAGTTAAATAAATATGGCAAATACTTAGTAAGAAGCTAGTGCGCGGACCAAAATCACAGACCGACGGTTAGCTCAAAAAAAAAACTCTCTTAGAGCCTAATTTATTAATTGTAAAATTTTATGTACTTACTCTAAAAAAATTAAACTAAACTTTGGTGATTTAATGGATGTGTCAATAAATTCGGTGTCAACTAACTTATATGCTGTAAGGTCATATGGTCGACAAATATATTTAGTATATTTTTCCAAATAATAGTTTTCTGCGCAGTTTAAAATTGAATATCCTCTTGCAAGGTGTGGTGTACATACATGTTTAATGTTTAGAACGAGGATTCTGCACTCATCTGAAACACTCCAAGTCTTAGACACACGATTGCTGGAGAAAGAACTCTGGAATTATATGTAATACAAGGTTCCCAAACATTTAAACGCCTAAAATAAAGGTTAAGGAAAATACAACATAAAACTAAAGATCATACTGGAGCATTTTATCGTTTGTTCAAAAATAATTGAAAACAGTTTTAAAACCCGTAGTAAAGGCAAGTAAAGTGTCAAGAAATGTAATGAGCACTTAGATAACTCTCAAGGATTGAACAGGTGATTTCCTTAATTTTAAACTATCTTGAACATTCTAGATCTTTACTGCACTAAAAATGTTCTGGAATTCTAGGAAAAATCCTATTAAAAAAAATTTAAATATAAAGAAAATCAGCTTTATTTCTTTATTATGATCCTCTTTTTGTTATATTTTGTTAATTTTAAAAATTAATAACAAAAATTATTGTAAAAATATATAACATGGGGTCTGCATGGCCCCTGGCCCGCCCACTGAAGATTAATAACGGTCCCTAAACTAACGAGCTGTTAAACCGACAAACCCTATCATTAAAAGTAGCTTAGTTTTTAAAATTTCATAGGGTGTATTATGTTAAGAAGTAATAAACTTAGACTGTGTAAAGGTCAACAATTTAACACTTCTAAAGCAAAAGTAAAAAATTTGAGTACTACTAAGATTTTACTAATAGATACGGAACTTTTTAATATACTATTATAACTAAACAAACATTTTATTTGCGGAAGAAGATCTTCGTACTTACAATATTAAAAGTATCTTACGTGTCACTGGAAAACTAATTGTTTTTTAAAAGTATTTAAATAAAAATACCTAAAGTTTTTGGGTTTATCTAGACATTATCGATTTTTAGTTTTGGATTAAAAGTAAAAGGACATTGTTTATGACCGATTTTGATTAAGCTCTATAACGGGTAATCGCAAAGCGTGTGGATTCTCATACTTGAACTTGCATTTACCGACAGTAAGAGCGTAACAACCAGACGAAATAAGGAAAAATGCAGTAGAGATACGCTGATTACTCTTTCAAAATACTATAATTTGACCTCCCAGTCGTCTCAAGCGATCTGCAATTAAAGCCTGACCAAAATACTGTTTGTACCAAGTAAAAAAGTACTAATGAAGCAAAGGTTATTTATGTCCTTTTGATTTCACAAATAGTTTTCTGGCCCTCTCAAGGAAGTCTACTTGCCCTTTTTACACCCTTTATAAACTATTGCAACTCATGCATTTGTTAAAAACTAAACAAATTATTGTAGAATTGTACTAGGTGCTACGTGGAAGTAAACAAGATAAGCTCCACATAAGAAATATATAATAGCTAGTGTATATATGTTTCTAACTCCTTTCAGTTTTAGCCCTATAGACCAAAGCAATTGATATTTTAATTTACTTAATGACACTCGCCCACAGACCGGATCTTCGAAACTATGAAAAAAATAATAACATAATGCAATACTGAGATGCCCTTCTTATTGATAATAAAAGATAAGTATACATAGCATATAAATAGTAATACTCAGGAACAATTTAGCGTTTCTTAACCTGGCAGGATCATTAAATTATGTTGCCCGAACCAATAAAAATGAGATTGACAACATTTTTAAGGAAGCTTGTGGTCACATGAGCCAGTATTAGCCTATTGTGCGTGAATCACATCAACAGCTAGAGCTTCTTAATTGAGTCATTAAAATTATTCCCCCATTGTAATTAAATTACTTGACTTTGAAATAAACATTTTAACAGAAAATGGAAGCTCTGTATTATATACTGTTACATGTTACAATATAAAGTACCTAAAATAAATAAGAAAAGATTATATGTATCAAACACGAACAGAACGTATACAAAGGAAAGGGACAAGAAAAGGAATAAAAAAGTATTTTCGTTATTAAAAGTTAGTATATTCGCCTTATGTATATATTTAGTTAGATTGTATGGATGCGATTATAATTCTTTTAGGTTGTAGATTAACAAAAAAATGTTCATATAAGAAAACATAGCATCCTTTTGTTCAAATCTATTTTCACATTTGCTGATAAAACTTGTAATCGTTATTTTACATTAGTTGTTAAAATATAGAGTATATATAAATATAAGATACGCACAAACAAAAATAAGATTAAAAAAAACAAAGTAAGAAATAAAAAGCGAAGAAGAAAGGGTAGTATTTTCCTTATATATACATTCATTAAGATTATTTGGCATTTGTTTAATTCTTTTTCATCATAAATAAAGAGAAAAATGTTCATTTATAGAAACATGCATTTATATTAAATTATCTAAACTATTTTCACATTAGCACACTTAAACTTAAGGACCATTAATTTAAACAGAGTCAATTTAATTTATCTTAACATTATAGTTAGTATTTTTAATACATTAATAATAAATTATTAAGTATGGCAGCAGTGACCTACGGTTTACTTTTGTTAGGCTGCGTGGTAAAATATAGGAAAGGGAAGAGGGTGCTCTATAGTAATACCTTCAAAAACTTTTTATAATGAATATTAAATTCGTGTTCTTTACATATTCTGCTACTATTATATATTATTTAAAGAGTGATTACTGCAAAGTGCCATCAACAATTTATCTATATTCACGCTAATTTTATTTGCGTTGTTATTATGTATACCAATAATATTCTCAAGTTAAAAATTAAGGGTAAGAATCCTTTTTTATTGGGTTTCTATAACTACTTTCATCCTGTAAGTTGTTTTTGTTAATTTTTTTTTTAAAACTTTGCAGCTTCTAAGATTAAGTAAGGGCGATGCCATCAGTACGTTTGGTTCGAAGTTGCTACTAAGTTATTTTTTTTCTTGAGAGTCCTAGGGGTTATCGTTCGCGATTTATTTTAGGTCATGGGTTGCATTACCTCTGGTATTGATAACTCTGAAGCTTTCATGCTTTCCCGTAAAATTGACGAAAAGTTAAAGCTTGAAGGGATAGACTTCCGCCGCCAAGTTAAATTGCTTCTTTTAGGTACTGGAGAGTCGGGTAAAAGCACAATCTTAAAGCAGCTCAAAGTAATACACGAGGTTGGTTGTAACATATAAAAGCCTTAACTAAGTTAATAAAACTTTAACATACCTTGTAAATAAAGAAAGGATTTACAGATAAGGAAAAAGAAGATTATAAGTATATTATTTGGGGAAATATAACACATAGCCTTCGACTTCTGTTGGAGAGCTGCTTAAAACATACTGCACTTTCTAAGGAGCTTCACGTAAATAACTTTTCTGTTTTACATATGAGTATTGTAAGAAATTGTTAATTAAAATTCTTGCTCTTCTTGCAACTATACACGTAATTATTGCAAAATTATATTAGAAACAGTTAATATGTTGTTGTGATGTGTTAACTTTTATAAATTCTAATAAAAGGAAAAAGCCCAAGGGGTTTTGGGTCTTATTGAAGAAGATTCTGGTAATCTTAAACTTCCAGGCAAGTTGTCAGAGAGCATAGTCAATCTTTGGTCTCACACAGAATTTAAAGAATTGTGTAAAAACAAGGATGTTTGCCAAGTTTGGACGGGTGACGGAGTCTCTTAGTAATGATTGTTTTGCTTGTAACTTTCCTATACGATTCTGTTTTTTATATTGTCTACTAATACTTTAACCAAAAAGCTTTTTAGATAACATCGAACGCGTGATTTCACCAAGCTATGTGCCTAGTTCTTATGAAATCATGCTTGCTCGCTCGAAAACGACTGGCATCGTAGAACGCTCCTTTATATATAAGGACCTTAAGTTTCGGTAAAAAACTAATAACTATAGTACTGTACTAATTGAAAACTTTATTCTCCACTGAGAGTATTTTTGATGTGGGTGGGCAACGTTCTGAGAGGAGGAAATGGATTCACTGTTTCGAAGATGTCACGTGTCTTCTTTTCTGTGTTGCCTGCAGCGAGTATGACGAGACTCTTATAGAAGACGTCTCAGTGGTATTTTTATTCTAATTCTTGCTTGCTTATTACTAAAAATTATTGTAAGAATCGGCTGAGGGAATCCCTGCAACTTTTCGAGTCCATTTGCAATAACCGTTACTTTCTGAACACCAGCATAATTTTATTTTTGAATAAAATGGATTTGTTTAAGGAAAAATTAAGAATAATTCCTTTTCGTGACTACTTTCCGGAATATACCGGTTTTTATTTTTAAGTAAAACTCTTGAAAGTGTTCCCTTGACCTTTTTGCATCAGGGGATGAAAAAAATTGGGAGGAAGCGGCTTCTTTTATTGAGGAAAAGTTTAAAAAACTATATAAAGGAGGAGAAGAAATTTATGCTAAGCGCACTTGCGCCACCGACACAGATAATATGCGCTTTATGTTTGATGCCGTTACGGACATCATCATCGCGAACCACTTCAGTTCCTGCTACCTTTAGGCCTCATAATTCCTTAATAGGCTTTAATAGTACAGCAAAGGGAGAGGAATTATAATAAATCTGTGGATCTTTCCTTTGAAAAGAGCTAGAGAGGCAGGCTAGTTAACGATAAGTTGCACTTTTGCTCTTTGAGAGCTTATTTTTAAGTTCCACTATATTTTTATGCTAATAAAGTTTTTTTTTTCCAACAAAAGGTTAAACTACAGCCAGAAAAGCAGACAAAAAGCTGAAATTTTTATAACATATACATTTTATTAATTTCAGCTGATATTATCTGTTTTATATGGCAATATATATAAACTATTTTGTAATTCCGCTTTATGAAGAGACTTAGCCTCGCTTATATCAGTGTCAAAGTGTAAGATGAAAGATAACCTTTAATACTATACGCGAACATGTAAGCTTGAAAAATTTATGCTTCTTTATATCCCTTTCTCTTGGTCTCAAAAAATTTTTTCAGGTTGAAGGTACATCGCATCCTTCTTAAAGACAAATGAATTTAAGATTTGTTACTTTAAAAAACACTTTCTGTCAAACTTTTTAACAGATCCCCTTGTTATTTAATAATAAAAGCTCTACGTATAAAAAAAACAATAGTTAACACCTAATATTTTAGGTTTTTATTGGTTTATCATACAGCTACTTTCTAAACGAAAATGAACTTTTTTAAGTTACTGAAAAAAGTAGCCAAGGGAACAGTAGACTTGGAGTTAGCTGAATTACTTGCTAATGTTTTCCCGTCTACAGCACTAAGTATGTGAGAATTTGAGGAATTGGAATTTATATATTTTTTTTCATTAGAACCAGCGGAACTAGCATCGGGATTCATAGACCCACTTTTAAGTGTTTGGGGCTGTTGAGGTCGCGTAGAATTTGAATTTGCGTTTGTAGCGCCTCCAGAAGGGGCAGAACTGTTAGCAGTTGACTGTCCGGCGGCACTATTTAGTAGTTGGGGGTTTACAGAATCAGCTCCAGCACTGTCTGTCCCTGCGTTGGGGCTGGAACTATCACTTTGAAGTGCTTGGGGCTGTTGAGGTTGCGTGCCATTAGCAGCTGCTTGTCCAGCGACACTATGGGGGTTTACAGAATCAGCTCCAGCACTGTCTGTTCCTGCGTTGGGACTGGAACTATCACTTTGAAGTACTTGGGGCTGTTGAGGTTGCGTGCCATTAGCAGTTGATTGTCCAGCGACACTATTTAGCAGTTGGGGGTTTACAGAATCAGCCCCAGGACTGTCTGTCCCTGCGTTGGGGCTGGAACTATCACTTTGAAGTGCTTGGGGCTGTTGAGGTTGCGTGCCATTAGCAGTTGATTGTCCAGCGACACTATTTAGCAGTTGGGGGTTTACAGAATCAGCCCCAGGACTGTCTGTCCCTGCGTTGGGGCTGGAACTATCACTTTGAAGTGCTTGGGGCTGTTGAGGTTGCGTGCCATTAGCAGCTGCTTGTCCAGCGACACTATTTAGCAGTTGGGAGTTTACAGAATCAGCTCCAGCACTGCCTGTTCCTGCGTTGGGACTGGAACTATCACTTTGAAGTGCTTGGGGCTGTTGAGGTTGCGTGCCATTAGCAGCTGCTTGTCCAGCGACACTATGGGGGTTTACAGAATCAGCCCCAGCACTGTCTGTTCCTGTGTTGGGACTGGAACTATCACTTTGAAGTACTTGGGGCTGTTGAGGTTGCGTGCCATTAGCAGTTGAGTGTCCAGCGACACTATTTAGCAGTTGGGAGTTTACAGAATCAGCTCCAGCACTGCCTGTTCCTGCGTTGGGACTGGAACTATCACTTTGAAGTGCTTGGGGCTGTTGAGGTTGCGTGCCATTAGCAGTTGATTGTCCAGCGACACTATTTAGCAGTTGGGAGTTTACAGAATCAGCTCCAGCACTGCCTGTTCCTGCGTTGGGACTGGAACTATCACTTTGAAGTGCTTGGGGCTGTTGAGGTTGCGTGCCATTAGCAGCTGCTTGTCCAGCGACACTATGGGGGTTTACAGAATCAGCTCCAGCACTGTCTGTTCCTGCGTTGGGACTGGAACCATCACTTTGAAGTACTTGGGGCTGTTGAGGTTGTGTGGCGTTCATGTTGGTAGTTCCTTTAGGAGAGGTTGAACCCTTTTCAGATGCTTGGCCCTCAGAGTTATCAAGGGAGTTCACATCACTCGAGAGGGTGCTATTAAAGGGATTGAATGTTGGTGAATTTTCTTTCCCAGTGCGTTGTTGTGTTGATTGGGAACTATGATTATAAGGTGAGCCACCAGCAGCGTTGTTAAGCAGCTGAGGCCCTGTCGACTTTGCCGTTCCAGGGGCTACTGAATCGTCGAAATTAGGCCCCGATGCTTGGTTTACATAATCGTTTTTAACTGAAGAAGTCCCAGCGGTTTCATTACTCATAGAGATACTTTCTTGTATAGACCGGGGTAGCAATAATGAGTTAATAGGGTAAACGACAACTCCGCAATAGACTTTACTAGGCCCCACAATAGATGCGTTGTTAATTTTAATTCCTTTTTTATTAGTTATTTTCAAATTTTCTCCGTTGACTGCCAATAAATTGGTTTTCTTAGACAACTGTTTCTTCGAAAACTCGCCTATTTAAGTATATTAATTATCACGCGACAAGGGTTCGTTGTGATGATACCTTTAACTATGTGATAAGCGATAACTTCGCGTAGTTTCGGAATTTGTGAAAGTTGATCCTTTAAAAGTTCATTGTTAACCTATAAAGGAAATTAATTAAATAACGCAAACTTGCAGTTAGTTAAGGTTAAACCTTTTGAAAAGCGGAGTCTACAGGGACAAAAATCGTTAAATTAGAGGTTTCATTGATAACAGAGGATAGGTCATGTGATTCTAAAAACTTTTTGAAGTACTGAAAATTTTTTTCGCTTTTAATTCCCTCATTAATTGGTACACAGCCAGAAGCCTTTTAATAATTAAAAAAACATTATTGAATTTACAAACTAATTATCTAGTAAATTTACGTTATAAAAATTGGGAATAACTCCCATGCTAAAAATCCCTTTACAAAAAATGGAAGCTATTAATATCCAATGCATTGCTAAAATAATTGTTTTTTAAATAGATCACGGAGGCATATAAATATTATACTCCATAGCTATCCTTATTGTTTTTATATCAAAGAAATCCAAGCTTAACTAATATATATTTAAAATTTTTAAAAAAGGTTACTATAAATACAAAACTTTTTAAAAATTAGTAGATTAAAGAATTAAATTGCTCCAATTTAGACAATTTTCTACCCGAGGTATCCTATTTAGCCAAAAATGGTAACTTATATGTATACTAAAGTTATCTAAGAATGAGAAGGTTAAATTTTAAATTTTCGGTGTATTATTTAATTCCTTTAACTTTTTAGCAAAACAATATGTTATCATTTTAAGTCAAATTTAAGATTCCTATTTAATATATTTTTTTCTTTGTAAGAAATTTTTTTTAGCTCTATATCTTTCAACTCGTTTTGAGGTGTAAAACATACTTTTAAATATAACTGAGTTATTCTTGCGATAAATTTTTCTAATTTATCCAAAATACAATATGTGAAACCTTCTAAAAGTGTACAAAGTAAATGTTATAGTTAGCAAATATATAAGGTATTACTCAACGTGCACGCGAGGAGCCCTATGTTACTAGCCCCCTTCTCTTCTATTATAAAGTTATTATGGCAGGCGGGCTTAGAGTATAAGGATGAGAAAGGACAAATATTAAGAAAGAAAGATAGTACACCAACTTACCCTACGAATTAAGGCGATGTGTAATTTTTTAGCAATTGCATAGTACTATAGATTTCCTAAAGGGTAAATATAGCTGTATTGTTATTAAAAATGAAAGGTAACGAGATGTTGGTCACGAATTCATTCCATTTGGCTTGATTTTGTAAGGACCAGAGTTGAGTAAACTCAATGTTGTAAGTTCGAATTTTACTGCCTCTGCTCTCTTTTTCTACTTTTAATAATCATGTATTAAATTTCTCATCCCATAAATTCTGAGATGGCGGAATGTCGCTGAAACTCCAGACCCTACAAAAGATTGAGGTTTAAAGATTTTAAGTCTGGCAAGCACACAGAGGGGCATAAGGATAATTAATGGAACCTTTTTAAGCTATTCCTCTAATTCATTTTTTCAAAAGACTGTATTAACTTATCAAAATCATCAACAACTTATAAAAGTCTTTACAACCTCCAATATATTCTCTTATTAAGAAATTAATTAGTGAATGTAGACGATTTAAATGGGAATATATGAAAAAGACGAGCCTCCCTACACTAGATTGGTTTTTTAACAAAAAAAGTAATGAGTTCAACGTGATTTAAATCTCTTTTTTCAACATCCTTTGGGATAGAAAACTCCGTCCTTAAACCCTGTCTGAAATTCAAGAGGGGATATGAAAATATCTTCTAAAACGCGTTAAAAATTGAGTGATGCACCCCCTACTAATAGTAAATGAGAAATTACTATTCCGTTCCAGGATTTTAAAAAAATTCGGGGAACTTTATCTTTCCTTGCATGCCCTCCGCTATTCTTAATAGTACAAAAAAATACGCCGTACCCAACCAAAAATATTATCTTCTTTTCGCAAAGACTCGCTACCTCCTTATCCTCAAGTGTTTTTGATTGAGAAGAAGGGTTGAATTGATACCAATAAGTTAACATCGAAAAAAGTGAGGGACCTATATAATATTAAATTTAATGTTTAAAAATTTTCCCTCAAGGGCACTCGTGGACATTTCTATCTTAATTAATTCTAATATCCCATTGGGTTACTTTACTACAGGAAATCAGAAGTTATTTTATACCAAAAAGTAACCATAATAGAAGTTACTAAAGATTACAGGTCAACTGAATTCTTAATACCCTTCAGATTACATAACATGATAAACTCTACAAATCTTGTTTCCCGACCCCAATTAGACTTCAATAGGGCCCTCTACAACACTGCAAATTTTAAGGATTGTGGTGAACACCACGAAAGTTTATATTTTTATAAACTAACAGTTAAGGTTTTTTGAATATCAGAATACTTACCATAGACTCTAGTATGAAGGAGTCATGTATAATTAAATTAATTGCAAGTTACCAGTATAATTTCATTTTTTTTTTTAAAAGTTAATTTGTTTTAGGAATAAGAGAAGATTTGCGCGTATCCAAAGTCTTTAAAGCTACAGCCTTTTAGAACTCTACTGTTACCTTTGCTATTACCCTTATATACATGGGTTATTCCCCTTTCTACCAACAAAGTTTCTCTTGCTCTTACGCTCCCGACTAAGTCATTTATTGTAATTCAGAATCACCTGCATTATTAAATGAGCACCTTTATTTACATGAAATTTGGTGTTAACGAAATCGCTAAAATATCGTGGATTAACGGACTCCCTGTTTTTAAACTTCCGAAGAATACCAGAGGGTAATTTCGCTGGTGTAAGAGCGCTTTTTGCTGCACTATTGTTATCTCCCTGAAAACAAGCCTGACAAGGTTGCTTTTTTTAAAAAGCGCTACTCTTTGCAAACTACCGGAGAGGCGAGAATTGCACTGAGGTTTTTGCATCTTGTACTTGGGCACTTTGTCAGGATATTCGAAGGATCAGCAGTTTGTGCATTGCTATCACTTTGTTACCTGTATATAAGCGCTGCGGACTACCATTAATATACAAAATAATTTTGATACTTTGTTCTCAACAACGCGTCATAATAAGCGGCAGTACAACTAGTGGCGTTGACGATCTCTTATGCAGAAAAAAAAGGCACAAACGTGTTATAACACATCAACCTTGTCATCAGCAACAATTTATTTATCCACAACAAAGATACAGGTAACATGTTGACCCGCTCACAGATGCTCTCGAAGAGACTCGTTAAGCAAGGGCAAACGAGGAACGTATATAGTAGTTACAGCCAGCTCAATGTGCTCTGTAAAATTAATAGGCTCATGACTCGTTTATTTTTAATTATACAAATAATTACAGCCTAAGCAACCGCGAGCAATGCAATTCTGTGCGATCGCAATATTGGTTTTTTTTTAATCTAAAAAGCTTAGAGGCCGCAGCCTTAACTTGGCTGGTGGGTAGCTTTTGATAACTTACTATACAGCTTCATCCCATCAAACCGCTGGTACGATTGATGAAATCGCCCGCTACTCTCTAGGGCGTCAATCGCAAATACTTAGCCTAGCAAAACTTATTCAAATACCCGAATGAGTGAGTAGTTGAGAAGTACGTAAATAAATTCAACTTAGGCACGCTGACACTTCAACGACAGATGCACCTGGCAAAGATGCGCTCGACATAAACTTTTAAGGTTCTAAACATTCGGGAACTGGTAGGCGTCCTGTCGTTTCTATTAGAGGATAATAAATATCAGGTGATTTAGAATTGCTGGCAGCTTTCTACTTGTTATGCCTTTGAAGGCTTTGTGACTTGATATCGAATTTTAGAACATAAAGGTTAGGCAGCCTATTCCCCACAATATTAGACGTTTGTGAATTCGTGCAGTGGACAGTCAAAATTCCAGTTTGCGTTTAATGCACACAACCGATATAGCCCCTGAAGGGTGGCATAAAAGCATTGCTTTTTAAGCGGATAACTCAACTCGCTACGCGCCAAGAAAGTGCCTAAAGCTAACAGCACCTACAGCACTACTTAAGAAGACTACAATTGTCAACTGATATCAGGCAACTATTAATGAAGTAAAAACACATTGTGGTGCTTTTTCCCCTTCTTAAAGAATGTAATCACCTGGTTTTTCGGGTGATATACCGGGCTCATTACCGTCAAGATATCGTCGTGACAAGCGCTTTTTTCGCTGCGCGCAAACATTAAGAGGTCTTTACGTAAGTCGTGCTTACACACAATGTGCATAAAGCCTACAGTGGCCTAAGCTTCTCCTTTGGTCTTCCACTGCGGCTGATGGCTAGTACCTTTCACTACGATCTGGGTCTCGCACAACTTTTATATTTCTTTTTTTTCAATACTTTGCGATATCGTAATAGATATGTGCCCTTGAAAGGCAGGCGTTACCACCGCCTTCGGGAAGCGCTATGAGCGCTTTTAAACACTTATGTTCTGCGTGCTAGTATATAATATATAATTCCCTTTTTTAGGATGATTTGTAATAATTTTAGCATATCCGAGGCTTTCCAGCGGACACGCCTTTTGAATTACTATAATAGCAGATCTAGCAGCATAATGGGGCCCCTACAATGTGACCCGTGCGGAGATTAATCAGTGTTATATATATATTAATCTAATTATGCCAAGACCAATCATTATCATAGTGTTACGGTATGGATTAACGCAAAAGTTCAAATGTTCCGTTACGGCCTTAGCATTTTACTACACAAAGAAGACCGAGATAAATTTAAACTTAATAATATATTAACATTACTAATAAATAAATGGTAAGTATTATAGTATTAAGAAAATTAAAATTATACTATTAATAAAAACAATGAGAATAAGAATTATTTGCCAATGCGAATATAGAACTTATTTAGTCGTATAAATTGTAGTATTCTTGTCTAAAAATGCAATACCTCCTTCACTTTATAGAAATTATGAATACGAAATTTATATAGAAGATTAATTTATAAGTCTTCTGGGAAGCACGCTTTCAAACCTCTTAAAAGTAACGGAAATAAAGGTAAAGTAATCTTCAATTTTTTACAGAATATTGACTATAATATGCTTGCGATTTTAAATTATAATACTAAAATTATTTTTAAATTAATATGGAAGCTATTATTATATATATAAGTACATGGAGAAAAATTGTCTTAGGTACTAAAACTATCTTTGCCTAGGTTACAATTTATACTTTGAACTATTAATACTTACTATTGTTAAAATCCAATGAGGGTTACACCGCAATATATGTATGATTAAAGTTTGCATAAGTATAGCCCATGTTTCTGTAATCAACCTCTACGCGGGTAGTCTTTTACGCCGATAATACGACTGGTTTGTTCGTCATCAACGTTGACAACTTTATCTCGCTGCCTCGCAAGTTGATGTCCAACCTTCTCTATTAACTTAGTAAAGAATAAAGCGCCTCTTATAACAAGGAAACGCACTGCGATGTCGACACCAAAGAAATTTGTGCTCTCAAGTACTAAGGGTCATCATAGATTATATACTATCGTAAACTCTGCGCATGAATCACTTGTTGGCAAATGTTAAAGAAACGACTTAGACTCTAAATTCTCTACTGTGCAGCGTTGAGCAATAAGCGCGAACTGTATTCGTTGTACGTTCGGCCGAATCGTATACACATATGCCGCCTGAAAATACGGCTTACCAGCGTTAGCGTCCTCGCTCTAAGTGCGACAAATTAAATTGTGCACCGCTGTTGTTTATGCGCAACTTACACTTAACCGCTGACCACAATTTTTATAACCGTCGTTCTATACGGGCGGGTAGCTAGGTCCGGTAACTGCCTCTTAGCAGGGAACACACTTACTAGTTAAAAAGCGTCTTTTAGTGAGGCGCTTTTAGAGTGATAATCGGAAGCTAAGTTAAGAGTTTTATTCACGACAAACTCAAAAATCAAAGTTCAACTTGCACTTGTAGGCGGTCAGACCTGTTAGAAAGCTCGAGTATTCGAGTTGTCAAGTCGATCGTGCTACAGGAAACAAATCTATAAATAATGAAAACAACAGGCATGACCTACTACCTTTTGGGCTCGGAGGGCAAGTGTTGGCAATGTCTTTGAGAGTTAAGTTTGCCAAAATTAATAGTATATTTTTAGTTATTCGACTTACCTGTATAACATATATAATAGTTCTTGGAGCTATTAGCTTATAAAATCATTTTTTAGTTTATTATGTCTTCTTTTTCCTCGAAAAGTTTTAACATTTTTCGTTCATTATGTATTAGGAAATTTGAAAAGTTTTTTATATAGTATTGTAACTACATAGAATTTCCTCACGCAAATACTGTTCCTGTTAATAATATTTCGCGTAAACGTTGTTTACAGCTTGATAGAGCCTTCATTTTTAAATATAAAGCCTCTTTTTTCCTCAGTTATATTTTAAAAAATTAAAGATATGCTTTACCCAATAAGGTGGAACCTGAGAGGGCACAGCAGCGGATATCGTTAGTAAAGATTGAACGCCCGCCACCGTTTACTCTAATTCTCTAAATAGTTGTTTGTTGCTTTTAATGGATGATGTAGTCTTCTATATAGTACTTACAACATTCAAATTTTCGAATCTCGAATTCACAAAATCATTAACAGTAAAAAAAAATAAAAAAAAGCATGTATTAATATTAAAAATAAGTAATAATAGTTTATCACTGGTGCACAACTAGATTTATAAAATACTCATTAGATTATATTTTTAAATTTATTATATCCACTTCAGTGCCGTTAAATATTGTTTCCTGTCCCGGTAAGCTACAAAATTTCACAGCAGCTACGTAACTTTGAAAATAATTTCAATCTCACAGTTCTCATAAAGATCTAAAAGTCTAAAAAATAATAATTCACTGGATATTATTATAGGCGCCATCAATTTATAATAATTAAATTATCAACACAAACCAAAAATAATTAAAGTAAAAAAATAGTCCTGGTTATTCTGTGCGAAAACCGAGTTTCCTGAGGTCTTCTTTTTCCATAAGCTTTCTTCATAAGTATTATAGTAAAAACAAGAGTACCAGGATGATATTCAAGTAAAAAAAGTTTACTTTTCCATCCTACAATTTAAATACGCTTCACTTTCCTTTTGGCACTTACTATTATTTAGTTTGTTATCAATTAGACACTTAATAAAAAAATTTTTGAAATCGGTGCATTCACCTAAAAATAATTAAATATTAAACAATTACAATTTTAAAAAAAGTTAGACCATGTATATCCAGAGGGAAAGCGCCTTTTAAAGGCGGTGTTTTTGAGTGACCTCTAGAGTTGTTCATTAGAAGTTATAAAAAGCCCAAATAAACTTTAATTTGTTCCTATAACGAAAATATAACAACTTAAAATTAAGTTTCCCTAACCTATATATAAAAATCCTATAAAGAAGTACATAACTTTTAATAAATAAATCCCACTTTTCTCAAACTATTTTAATAGAGTCTTTCAACTCTAACAATTGAAGTAATACTGATTTTGCAGCCTGTAAACCCTCGAGAACTTATATATAATAGACATTAAAGCAATATTATATAAAGGTAAGTCGAAGTACCGAGAAGCACTAAAATTTATTTGATTACTATGACTCTACGCGCTCCAAGCACAACTGTTCAACAAATGAAGAAGACTAACTACAAAAGGCGCGCGAGTCATTCTTATCTAACCACATGTGAACTGTTTACTCGGAGCCTCACTTTATAACAACAGATTTCCAGGTCCCGCTTAGTTAATCAAAAGGTTTACATAAGCTTATGAGCATGCAGTAAGATTATTTGTAGTTTGCGTGGAGTTGCTCTTAGTTACTTTAAATATGCTTATATACAACTTTAATCGCCCCTCAAGTGCTACAAAACTAACTGCTGCGCCTGTTAACACGCGCCGTGTTTTGTGCGCAAGGATACACTTTACCACGAACTACAGACTGGGCTACTGACTGCAATCTTAAAAAGTGTGTCGTCGCTCTCTACGAACGGACCGCTGGACACGCTAATCGCGTTTTAGCGAAAGAACTCGCTAACAAGTTATGTGACGGCGCACTCTCTCCAAGTTGGGGGTTTAATCTTTTAACGGGCAAACCTCTGGGGCTTAAAATAGATTTGCTTTTTCTGCGACATTACTAAATTGAACCTGGGCGACAAGTGGTAAACATAGAAACCAATAACCAACAAGGGGTTAAAGCGAAACGTGAAGGGCACATTAAGATAATACACTATTGTGCAAAATTGTTTCATGTTTTGCATTTTTACATTTAATATAGAACAACTTTTCAATAACTTAATGGATTACTTTGGAATTTGTACATCTTTAACTTCTATTTTCCAGCTACATTTTGTTAATACTTGACCTTAAACTGGCTTAATATTCGAAAAGATATGAACTTGTAAAGTTTAAAGATTATAGAAGTTGTATCCGCTTTAGCACACTAGCGATCAGATTGTAGCATTGACCCGGCGTTATTTTTTTCCATTTTGATTGTACACGTGTCTAAAACTCGTCCAAGTTAGTAAGCTGATACTTTGATTCCCTTTTTTATTCAAGATTCCCCATGCATGCTCAGTGGAATTGAGATCAGGAGATTGCGGAGGCCAGTCTAGCAATTGGAACGACTGTAATTGGAGTCATGGTCGCACTAATAGTGCAGGGTGACCTGGGGCATTACCCTGCTGAAAAACCATTTCACCAAGACCAAGACCATACCAATTGCATGTTCTAGGTAGGGTCATTCTTAATAATGTCTAAATGTGTACATGTGGTGATGCTCCCTGTCACGTGCACCAAATACCCGACCCCCTTAGATGTTAGACAAGCCAAATTATCGATCTTCCCCCATGTTTATACGTTTGCAACCCCTGGCGATCAAATATTCGATTACTGCCAGATCGCTTCCTTACACCACCTAATAGTCTTCGAGTCATATCGATTGACCTTGGTATCATCCGAAAAATTACTTTTTCACAGTCAGAAATGGACCAATTGTCGTGCTTCTTCGCAAACTCAAATCTTAGTCGCTTGTGACGGTCTGTCAAAGCAGGTTTAATTAACTTTTTTTTTTCTCAAGGAAACCAGCAGAATGCAGTGCTCTAGATTCGGTCGAACTTGAAACTGGCTATCTAATGCTATTTCTATGAATTTTGAAGCTCTCTGTGCAGATTCAGTTGTACCCAAGATCACTTGTCGTACAAGCCGAGCTATATCCCGGTTTTTCAAGATCTTTGGACACCCAGGTTCCTTGCAAGGAAGATATGGATCATATTAAGCTGATCCGGGATATTGTTCCCTTACTGACGCACTTTAACGAGCGATCTCAGTATAAAGCTTGCCTTGATCTAGAAGACATTTTACATCATTTTCTTTATCGACTGAAGTTTACGCATTATTAAATTAGGGGCTAGATAAGCTATTCTTTATAGTCACTCAAACAATATAAGAAAAACCTCTACGACGGAGTGTAAAAATTTTGTATAAAGATTGAAACAACTTCGCACGAAATCGTTTCAATCGATACTTAAACTTTAAAAAGCGATAAACACTTAAGTAAGAAAGCAATTCCTCTAATACAAACTACATTAAATAGATCTCAATCTAAACACTTATATATACATATAAGGGATAAATATAACCAATTATTTTTAAAGCGTTATAGAATTTTTACAAAAAATTTTAAAACAGAAACAATTTTGAACGATAGTGTATTTTTACTTGAATTTTTGGACGACTGAAAACTTGTTTGAGAGCTCGTGTATCCGAAGTTGTTAACTCACTCGAGCCTCAAAGAATTGCCATTAATAAATAAATAAATAAATCACTCGCCCCAAGCTGTTCTTAACAAAGCAATTCATTAAACTTATTTACATTCTTATCTAACATCCTAGTTATAGGCTATTACCCATATGAAGGTCTACGGAAATTGGTCCACGTTTAATTTTTGGTGAAAACTGTGGGTTAAGTGCGTTATACTCTAGAAGACTGCCATTAAATAGACAGAAACAAAATTTGCATTGAATATTTTAAGAGCCAGTTATAATGGTTTTAGCTGAAATGTTCTCTCGCAACTAGCAATACCGCCCTCACTCTCGGATGTAGTTGCGAAGCCACCCACATTCTGATTTCCTATCCCTAATTAACTTGTTAAATGAGGTGCTATAAGTTTGGGCTCAGTATAACAAATTCGTATTATTGCGCATTAATATTTGGAGTTCGATCCTTTTTGCTTTTGTAATTCTAATACTTGCTTTTTTGTTCCTTTTTTAATAATCTCATTAGCGGTAAACTCTTACAATAAAGTTTTTATAGATAGAGTAATAGAAAAGTTAGAACAATCCATTTAAAAGATCAAACTATAATTTTTTATCCAAAATTAAATTTATTAATTACATTTTTTAAAAGAGTTTAATTTTGAAGAAAGTTACATTCGGGTATTACACTTTAAAAAAAACTGTAACTTTGAATTAGGATGAAAATGAGGGCTTTCTTTTTTTGATAATACTTCGGGCATCCTAATTTTGCTATATTTATGTGATATAGCTCCCAAAAGATCATCAAAAAGCGTGAAGAGCTCTGTATTGTTATAAAAACCCTCAGAAAGTTTAAATAAATAAGTTAAAAGGCCTAATATTTGAGGGAGACATCATCAACTACAGTAAGCGCCACTTGAGCTACTTATTATACTTAATGCACTAACATTGGAAAACAGACCCAAATAATAGGTTCACATTAAAAGCGGTCATAGTTAAAAATCAATTAACAGTATGCTAATTATGAAGATTAAAGCTTATACTTCTATAACAACTAGCTATTGATGCCAACAGATTTAAAAAATACACCTATTTCATAGATCACAAAGTAGCTGGGGGTTACGGTTAAGTTATATCTGGCATAAGAAACAAAACAGATAAGAGCCTGTGCTTGTTCAAAGTAAATTTAGTCTATTAAAAAAAAATATATATGTATTTGTAGATAATCTACCATTAAAATGTTAAAAAAGTATATTATAGTATATTAAAGTATAGTAGGCTAGTTATTTCAAAATTTTAGATAAAAGTATAGCTACACATAACTTCAACCATATTAAATATTTTTGCCTGTAAAAAGATAAAAAACCAATGAAAGTTGGAGAAAAGATTTATTCTCCAATAAATGCATAAGTCAAATTATAAGAAACCATGACTGTTAAATTATTAGTTAGCGATAAAGACTATTTATAAAAAGAAAGGGACTACTCTTAACTTAGATCACGAACCTAAAGAGCCTTTTAAACTTACTACAACTATCGGTGCTACCAATGATATGAGTACGTAATTTAGCTCCAACACCAGGTGCATCTGGGCCTTCGCCCACCAACTCCGACAAAGGGTCTTTCGTCCTTAGGATTTTACGTCCCTTACAAAAACTGTAAGATACCTAGCCCACAATCCTACGGTGAACGCTAAACTAATCGGACTACTGTATCTTGACTGTAACTTCGCAAAAAAATTAGATTAAGCAGTATTTGAAGCTTTGTAAAAAAGAAAGACGTGGGTGTGTCCAAAATATATATATAGGACTTATATTATTGGTCGGTAAAATAACTATAAAATGACTGGAAAGTGTGTGAGAAAAGAAGAGACGTAGTGTAGAAAAGAATGACTAATGAGTATATTAAGAAATAATAAATAAATTTATATTCCTGTGAAGGTCAGGGAATTCGACTAGTTCACTTAATTAAAATTTTTTTAATTCTTGCATAATTCCCTCAAAAATTAAACATTACTACGAAATAGTGTTTTACAATCAAATCAGTTTCTACTTTATTTCGCTCTCCTCTTTATGCTTTCCTTAGTTTAAAAGAAGAAGGGTCTTTTCTAGGACCCTTAAGAGTTCATGACCATTTTTACTATTTGGTTCTGTATCCGACTTTTTTTATTTCCTTATATACAACATCCACCTTAACTAAAGAGGCCTAATATACTGCTTAATCTGATATATATGATAACGCGAACGCTCACCCAAAGGAGGTTGCATTAACTTGACTGTCCCGAAGGCCTGAATAAGCAAAGAAATATCATGCTCGGACTCCCTCAACTCGGTCTAGTGTGGTGGAAACAGCCAGAAAAACCATATCCGAGAGAGGCGGTTCAAGGTACAAGGCCCGAGCCGTTCCTGGAAACTACTTGGTGATGGGTATTCGGCGGTATGCATCATTCCTAAAATTAATAGTAGATATTATTACGCAAGACACGTCTTCCCATTAAGTTATTGGGACAGTTTTTTTAGCAAAACATGTTTAACCATTTCAGAACATCGGTTGCATGCGGCTGAGGGCTAACCGTTCAAGAGCGAAGCATTAATAAGTAGTTGTAAGGAACGTTGTGCACTGCATAGTTCACGCTATTGAGAGGCGATAGGGCGAAGTTAAACATGCAATCTTCTAAGACCAAATAGGAGGTCGCGTCGATGAAAATCGAACCCACGACCTTGGGTGTGCGCTTTAATGCTCTTGACCGCTGAGTTTGCGACCACATCTCTTGGTCTCGCTATGATGGATTTACACATATAATCTGTTAGTGTTTTGTTGCTCAGGCCGCTTAAGCGCTATTAACTAAGTTTTTAGCGCCTTTGTAAATCTAAACTATATTATTATGTAGTTATTAATATCTACTTTACTGTTTAAAATATGAGTGGCGCCTATCTACTATATACTTGGTAACAAGTATGTAGAAGTACTCTACCGTAGTAATCTATTTTAGCTGCTATAAGATAGCACTAATTCACGATTGTCTGTCTTTGAACCTGCTCTCATACTAACAAAGGTGTTATTTTTACCAAATTTATTCTAAAATACTTAACTTAAAATAATACCGCTTCTGAAGTATCAGTGCTCTACGATAAACTAATGGGTAATTAAATTTACAAAAAAAAAATATATATGCCTTTTATCCTACTTAAGGAAGTAATTTTTTTTTACTCATGTATGTGTCAATTTTCATTGATTATCCTGCTTTATTTCTACGGCTAAGTATTGCTTACCGACCTGTTAATCTGTACAGCAAAGTTTAATAATTATTTTATGGGTTTCGAGAATTTTTTATTCAGCGGAATATAGAGTAAATTTTCACGTAAACTTTGGGAATATCAACGTAAGGGGTATAATGAAGAACCTCAATTTGTAGTGAACCAGTATTGAAAATATAACGCAGCCCTTTATTAATTATAAATAGTCAAATTAGCCAATTTTAATATTGTTTTTGTTATTGCTTAAATACAGTTATATCCTTTTGCTTTATAACTTTTAAGTAGTATTATGCAGCCAGTGGAAAGATAAACAAACGTTTATGATTTTTAACAGGTACTACAAGGCAATAGTAATAAATAATACTTTTTATATTTTTATAGCTTTGCCACAGCTTTTGGAGTTTGTGGAGTTTCTTCAGTCTATCAAAAAAGACAATCTTGCTTGTATGTAGCACAGAGAATAAGGTGAATTATTAACGCGTATTTCGACTTAGTCAAAATCCCACTCAAAGCGTTCAGGGATGGGCTCGCGATCTTCTTCCGCATATATCCATGTGCCAGCAGCTTTATAAAATTGAAAAACGTCTTAAATTTGTAAATCCTGATTTTTACTTGTACATATACGATAAGAAAACCGTCGACTTCGTTGTTAGAGGGAAACAAATTATTGCAGCGTCCCTTGGGTTTTACAAGGTAATCTTTTCTACACGAGAGACAACGAAGAGCGCTCGGATTTCCCCGGTAACGCTTCCAGAAGGTGTGAGCAACCAGCTCCACCGTGCTGGGGCTACTTTGAGAGTGGTGCAGTAGTATACAAAGCGGGGGAGAGGTTGTTGTGAAAAACTAACAGACCGGCGTGTGGGATCTCGCTGTAGGCAGGCTAATACCACCTGCCGGAACTTTTTTGAGAGGCCCTTTGGTGGGTCCCCCAGGTAGTGGCGGGGAGGGAGTGTTAGATGTCGAGTCATCTTCATGACGTAGACCTGCCAAAGAGAGATAACTAAAAGTCTTTTTCTTTTAAAAAAGCCTTATAACTGTTGTGGAAGGCAGAGAAGAATATGGGGGAAAGTTGTGCACCAGTTCCAGCAGTGTAATCGCAAACGAATAGACGTCTGCCTTCTCATTATACCCGGCTTCGTCCTGCGCCAGTATTTCTGGAGCAAGCCAAGGCACATCGACGTCCCTCCAGATGTACTCGTGTAGGGCTTTCCTGCGGTTTCTGGAAGTGACAAGGGCCACGTCCTGCAATTCACTAAGTTGGACAGTCCCGTCCACATTCAGTAGTACTGAGGAAGCTCGAAGGCGTCTGTCATAAGCGAGAAGAAGAGGAAGTTTCTTATGGGAAGGGACAGGAATACCGATGGAGGATGCCTTGGGCGTGAAGATACTTCAAACCCTGTAATACTTCGTGCATGATGTAGCCCACAGCCGATTCCCTAAGACCAGTACCTTCGCAACTCTGCAGTAGTTGCTGGGCAGAGCCTGAAAAAAAGTATCTAAAATAAAAATAGTTATTTTAAAGAGATGTAACTACCAAAATTCATGGGTTTCATAATGACCCAAAGCTTTGAACCGGCAATAAAAGAGTGAAGGTAGCTTGATATATTAGGATGACGAAATTGAGAAGCGAAGTGTAAATCCCTCTAATAGAGCGAAAATGGAGAAAATGAATATTTTTAAAAAAGAAGGCAAAAGAGATGTATAGGAAACAAACTCTAGCGTGTTGGTATAGGTCGGGAAAGTTATCAAGATCTGTTCGCTTAATAGTGAGTACAATACCAGTTTGGAGATGCTTAGACAAAAACAGCACCGTGGGGCCTTGCCTGTTTCCTGATATTCATAACGTGCAAAGGTGGGCAAAAAACTTAAATAAAAGTTATAAGTACCTAAAATATTAATTATGGTATAATCTTGAGGATTTGAAGTGAATGTCCTGCTAAATGTTAATCATAGAAAAGAGTAGTAACAAAAAGGCGTGCGTGCTCTTCACAAAATATATTTTACACTGGTCTCTCTTTGCAAGGGTGTAACATCTTCTTCCATAGCTTTGTCTTTAAATAAGTAAGTTTATTAAGGGAAGTAAACAAAACAATCAATCCTTTATTTAAGGTGACAAGCGATTTTAAAAAAGAAGTAACAAAATTAAATATTATATAGACCAAGGTACTGGTCATTTGCAATAAAATTATTACCTTTTATAAGAACGCGTCCCTTTAACAGAGTTGCTTCAGTCTCTTTTTTTTTTAAATGGTAACTCTTTCGCAAAGAGGAGTAAATACCCGAGGCTTTAATGTAGTTTGATGGGAATGAGGTCTTATTAAGAGTTGTACACCCAAAATCTTATCTCTAATCCTCTTTTTAAATTTACTAAAAAATTATCTTATCTTCTCATGGAACCTAAGTCTTACCTAAGTACTTTAAGAGGGCCCCGTCACCGAAATATTACTCTAGCTGTAGTCTTAATTGAGATGTATTTTGCAGCCTTAAACTTCTAACGCTTTAAGGCCTTGCTTGTATTACAAAAATTAATGAGGGCATACTAGATGTTAAAATAACTCTAAAAAAAAGCTTAGCGGCTTAAACAGGAACTTAATAAAAACTTTGAGATTCTGGTAATTTTTAGTTTATTATAATCTTTGATTAAAATGTATCAGCTAATACAGAAAACCGGTACGTATAAGTGTGGAACCCTTGTTATCGGGAAATAGTCTGCGTGGAAGCTCAAGTATTATCCGAAGTTTGTTAACCCAATTAAGAACTTGTTATTACACTTTCAGTGGTCAACTTTATAAATGCAATGCCACAATAATAAAAATATTTCATAGAAGAAACCACACCATCTTTGAATCTGAAAGGTGGTCATTTTTACTTTTAACAATAGCGAAACGCCAAATCGTGATGGCTATCTTCCCACTGTGCACACAAGCAATAAGATGATACCTCGACCTAAAATTAAAAATACTCAGGGCCCTGCCGCCATATTTGCTTAAAAGATTTCCACTAAAAGCCGTCATTTATATAATGGAGTTAAATAACTATTAAAAAAGTCATAACTTTTCGAGGCGTTGTAAAAAAGGAAAGTTATTTCTATCTCAAAACTTGAAAAATGTAAGCTCAAGTATACCCTCTTGCATTAGTATGGCAGCGGGAAAGCGTTTATGTAATCCCTGTCTTTCAATGCATTTACGATTCATCTGCTTTTGAGGGCTACAGAACAGGCCTCCACGTCCTTACGGATGTATCCACGAGGGCAAAACGCTATGTGAAGGGGTTGACTAGCACCCGACTTGTCTCTTTTTATTAATTTTGTTTTTTGTTTTGCTTCTTTAGGGGTCTTTAAACTTATTAAATAAAATAATGACGTGTCTTAGTTTTTTAATAACTTTAAATTACAGCAGCTTATAGCCCACGGTATACCTGTGTTACTATAATGTTTCTGATACCTTAGTTTTCGAAACTTAAGACCAGTAAAATCAACACCTAATAAAATTTACTGCTGCGATGTTTTTAGACCTGGTATAAGTGTTATATAAGATGTCCCAGGACCGAGACTTACTTATACGTTTTTAGGGTTCTTCTCTATCTTTGTAATTTTTCCTACTAAACCCTTGCACAACTGAGAGGCTTCCATAATGAGTGATGCTAAACAACACTTTTATGTACCGGTTGTACGGACCAATATGACGATGTCACAACCGTTTGGTAGCCTCTCTGACGCTTAAACGTATGCTGAGTCGTAAATTTTTAAAGAGTAGAGCAATAAGAAGATTTGTTAAGAATTTTCACCTTATAGAACGCGTCTAAAGTTTAAATAATTGAGGGTAACTATATATTGATTATAAGGTAGCTTTTAAATTAATTGCATTAATATGTATAGTAATATATATATATATATATATATTAATAAAGCATATGCGGCTAGCCCATCTTCATGACTCCATCTTTCTTATTTTTTTCGTTTTTACCGCCTCTTATTATTGTAATTTTACGTTGGTCGAGAGGTCCAGCAATATTATAAAGTTAATAGTTTTAGTATAGAGGACGTTTTAGTCAAAGTTAGTAAGTAGCTTAGAAGTCTAAAAAACAACCAAGTAAATACTTTACTTAGTTTTACTAGATATTATAAACGAGTTTAATATTTCCCCTAAGTAACCAAATTTAAGTATTTTGGGCTAATAATCGATAAAAGACTCACTGGAAGCTCACTCATCTAAATGGCCACGAATTAGAACTTTTACATGCCTTGTGCCCTTTTATCTGCAGAAGGCGCTGTAATACCCAGCCCCGTCCCTCCTAGGTTACGCTCCCTCACAGCACTCAAATTAGTGCACCATGCTTAGTCCATTATATACAAGTATACACCACCGTTTACACGCCCGAAGAGAAACCTATGTTATGTTTATTATCTTCGTGGTCTGGGAGCCCCTTACTTGTTTTGGAATTCTGTTCTGTATTCTCGTGTGATCTGTTTTATCATTTTCTGGTGATCCTTTTGTTTGTTTGTGTTTTTTTAGTCTAACCGTCCGTTTGCCCCTTTTATTGTTTCATATTTAGTAAAGTGTATACGTTCATTTTCTAATTGATTTTTATTCTTTCACACACTGCCCAGCCATCTTCATAGGAGTGAAGTGACGTTACCTTTCGTTGCGTATAGAAGCAAGCTTAGTTTCAAATTATAAAACTGCTTTATTATAATATGGCGATCAGACCTATTATTTATAAAGTTTTGGTTGCTTGGTTCTACTCTTTTATTACCATTATTAGCAAACTACAACTTATACAAAAGAATTTTTCTCTTTATGTTTACGGGTGTACCTGGTATTTTGCAATTTTACTGTAATCTTACTTGTACAGTTATAAAGTGATTTGAAGAAGCTAGTTCTTAAAGTAAAAAATTTGTTATACCCTGCAGTCTCTTATAATTTAAATAATTATACTAGGTACAAAAGATCAAAAATACGTTGTCCCCTTTTTAATATAATAATTATAACTTTAAGGTAACATAGTATTCTACTTTAGATAACTTTACCAATTATTGACTTTGTTATAACAATAATATCTTTTTGTAGCAATAGCGGTAGGCGGCGATTTTTTTATACCTTAACATTAAATTTATTATTTTTAAAGTGGAAGAATAACTTTGATTTTCTCAGATGAGAAAAGGTAGATTAATCAGTCTAAGACAGTTTATATCTGTCGGCGGAGGTTAGAGAATAAACAAGCAGTGCTGACTAATAAGCGAAAGAGGGGGAGAGAGTAAGATCTGGGGTCTAATTAGAGAAAGGAAGTCCGATTCGAAACTGTTGCCTTTGCCTCCCAGCATTTTAAAAGAAGAGCATTGCTACAGACTTACTCCCCTACCCTTTAAATGTGTGATTAACAGGTTAAGCTCTTAAGATTCTTAGGTACGGGAGTCGTCTATGCCAGCGCTAAAAAAAATTTAAGTGCTTTCACCGCTTTTTTGTATTAATTAGTGCGCCGTGTATCATAGCAATACCAAAAGCTAAGAAAATTAACTATGGTTTATAAATATAAAGAATGAAGAATAAGTTTAAATGGGTTACGTATTACCGAGAATGCTGACTATATATAATTTGGACTACACCTCATAATTGACAAAGTATATAAGGACTATAGAATGAATAGCGGTTAAGGATCATTAGGCCTTAAGGTCACTAGTGGGTTAAGCATGCAAAGTAAAATAACTTTTACTCGTCTTACATATATATAATCGGCTCGCCTTACTACTTGTCAAACGGAAGAAGGGCTAATAAAGCGCTTACATTCAGTTAACTAGCCCAACACCTAACGGCAATTGATCAATACTGAGAGCAAGTTTTGAGCTATTAAGGGTCTTGTAGTGAAATTTCTACCATTAACTCGTTTTGGAGTAGTTTATTAAACTAGGAGCCAACTGTTTAAATATTCAAAAAGCGAACTATGCTTGCTACGAAGAAAGGAGTGCACGGTGCATTAGAAGCTTCTCTAAGGTCCACTAAATGGTTTGAGAATCACTAAACGAAAGTTCTTACTAAAAACTCAATAAAAGCGCACACTGACAATCAATCTACTTACAGCTTTTGATAACCGCAAGGGAAAATATTTGTACGAGCTAGAGATCGTAGACTTCTATGTAGATATAAAGTGCCTTATTGACAAAGGCCAGGCAAGGAAGGAGGAAGGAGTTATTAAGGTAAAAAGTAGGGACTTAGGACTTAAAAAAAGAACTTGGAAAAAAGTCTACGAATCTAGCGTATAACCTTTCCAGGTTACGGTTATGTACTTATTTCTTTGTTAATATAAGATTAGTCTTTAGATGGAAGTTCAGATCACAGCGTTTTATTTAAAAGTTATATGGTCGTTCGTTGTACAAAGCAAATTACTATTCCGAAAATATCTTTTTCAGGCTTTTAAGAAATTTTGTTAATCCCACTTAGTACTATTTTCTTCGTCTCAAAAATGTAGTCTTCAATACAGGGCAGGAAGGGAGAGCACAAGGATACACAAGCCCCTCTTTTGGAAGCTTATGGGTAGTTGCAAGCTGGTAAATCAAGTTCAGTTATTAATCTTTGTAATGATTTTTACAAACAGCTAGCGGTTATCATAGTAGCTAGGTCAAAATCACAATAGTACATTCAATAAGTCTAAAAAAAAATGTTTTTGAAAGTAAAATGATTTTTTACTAAATACCTTAACGTGCTGAGTCGCGGATGCAAAGGCTGCTAGTGAGAATTGTAACCCAATTTAACCCCTTTTCCCACATATTTATTATTAACTGTATGTAACGTGAGGGTTGGGCGCTTGAGGCAAGGTGTGGGAAGTACGCACGTTTATTTTTCTTCTTTTTGTTAGTTTTTTAGGTGTTGTGCTCCTCATGCAGCTTAAAAATTATTAAATTATTACAGGGTTTTTATATTTACAAAAACCTATATTACACTTTTTTATCTATAATATATCGTACTTGAAGACTAATCTTGAAAAATCGACACTAATATTAAATTATGTCATAGAAAACTTAAAAAAGAACCTAAATTGCTTTGCCTCGTTTTAACATTCAGAGGTGATAATCCTTAATACCTTTTCGATATGCAACATTAGAGAACCCGTTAGATAAGCTTATTGAAATTATAAGGAGCTATGCTTTGTATGGATGGCTTTCGGTTTTGGAGTTTTTTTCTACAAACTGCCAGGAGAATTTATAAAGGGACTACCGTGAAGGCCTACCCTTTTTATTTCAGTGTACTAATTCCTTCGCCGCTATTTTCAACTGAACTTTAGTTGTGCTTTTCTGCTTAAGCTAGTCACAAGTTATTTACGCACATTCTCTTATGTGTATACACTACTACTAACCTGCTCATAACAGGTTGATGGTCATATTCCAGGCCTCTACTTAAAAGTAAATGCAGAAAAAATAACGGAGTTGGATGAAAAAGAGGTTAAACAAATTTGAAGGAAAAAAATTCACCCGTCACCCCATAAAAAAAGGGCGACCCGCTTTTTATACATGACCACCTCTATTTTACCCTTAAAGTACGATAATAACTAATGCGGAAATGAAAGGAAAATTGAATCGCAAGTGATACTTGTAGCAAACTCTAGTTAATTTTTGTAGCCGGCAAAAAATCCTAACTTTGTGCAATCACTGAAGAAATTTATGGTGAGTGACGAGTTGTTTGTAAGCGATGCAATGAAGAAGCTTTCGTTGTAGATCGTTACATACTGAATGTATATACTTACAAATCTTGAAGCTTAACAATTCCTTGTATAAGTATATTTTATTCGAAAGTAACAATAGATACTTTTGCCGGCTGCTTTTTTCTATCTATTTTTAATAAGCGCGTAGCAACGAGTTCGTATAGCAAAGAAACGGCGCAATTTGCAGAAAAACAATTTTTACTTTCAGATTTAAGAATTTCCCAATCCATCTAAAACAATTGAAAGTTTTATTAGTGAAATATTAAATTACAGATATATTTATTAACTCAACATCATTATAAGCTATCCAGCAACGAGCGTTAAGGCACGGTAACAAGATTAAATTTAAAATCAAGGGCGACGCAATAGAGAGTAGAACAAAAAAAAAGAAGGTCAACCTCTCCGTCGCTCTCCACAAGAATCTTCAAGACTTTTGCAAAATCAAGTTCGCTGTTTTCATCAAGAAGAGAGCACGTGTCTTCTCTTTAGCATTGCAATAAATTCTAATGAAAAAATTAAAAAATTAATTAAAGTCCGTTCAACCTCCACTTCTGTTTTAGCTTTTTTTCGGCATTTGTCAATAATAACTTCTCTTGAACTTCTTTTTCTATACTTTCTAACAAAGTCTATCGAATTTAAAAAATGATCGAATAACTGTAGTAAAGATACAACCTTTTGTTCGACAGAAAATAAAACTTCTTTATTGTCGGGAAAGTCAGCTGGCCGGAGCGGAGGAGAGCACAATTCTGTTGATATCAAATTTATTTATAAATTATAAATAAAAAACTTTTTTTAAAAACTTTTAGTTTCCTCGTACAAAAGTTTGGTTTGTTCCAAGCGCAAGGACGATTCTGCAATCTTGAAAAAAAAAAAGTCGGTATATTTACTATTGTTCTTAACTTATTATAAAGTATTAATACAATTTTTTTAAAAAAACGCAAGTTCATATAAAGTTTTGTATAAGTTGATATGTTAATATTAACAGTAAAATTAATAGTTTGAAAACTTATTTGAAAGTATAATTAGTTTCTAACTAAATAATAAAAATTTTAATAATAAAATGTCTTCGAAATTAAAATTTAATGAAGGGAGGATCTCAGAAAATTTCCACTCACCGAATTTTCTAAAGCAATTATTTTATTATTATCAGGAAAAAAATCAAGATCGCTAACTGCCTCGCTGTTCGCTACAAGTACCGCTTCTGGCACGGAATTTAACTATAAACATAAACAGTAATAATAATAAATCTAAGTCATATAGAAGAAACTTTATGAAGTAAAAGTTGTATTTCTTCTTCAAGTTTCCGGCATTCTTCTTCCTTTTCTTGCAGTAAAAGGCTAAAATCCCTTCAAATTTGTAATAAATTTCAAGAAAAAAAAAGTGAAGCCCATAAAAAAATAAAAAAAAACTTATTTAAAGAAAATTTGAAAGCAAAGATGAGGTTTTATATTAACTTTGTAGCATATAAACTTTTCTTGCGGAGAATTTCACTCGACAACTGTTCGTCTTCCAACTAGATTATAAAAAAAAAACATAATTAATACAAATTTCACAATCTTTATTATGGCCACTCGGTTTCAGTATCGCTTCGCAACGGACCAATCAAAAGTATACACCAACTCTATTAATACTGAAATTACACGCACAGCCAAATGGACTCTCCGAATGAATAATTAGTAGTAGTAAATACTAGAAAATTAAAATAATCCTTGCAAAAAAAAAAAAGAAAGACAAGTAAATCGCCAAAAGTAATGATACTGCTAGCAATTCTTCAGACAACGCACACTCTTCAGCGTGATAACGAAGAAACCGCGCTTTCAAGGATTCAGTTTCTTCAACTTCAGAAAAGTCACTAAAATTATATTTTTAAATTTTATATAAAAAAGTGATTGCTTATAAAATCTAAATATAAAATCCCTATTTAATTATTTCGTGTTAATTAATTTTTTTTAAAAAATGATTTTATAAAAATATTTCTAAAAATAAAAAAAATAATTAATTTTATAAAGTTATGACTTGCCCAAACAGACAAGTGATAAATATTATTTATACATAACAAACTCCTCTACTAACGTTTAACAACTACTTTAATAATTAATATTTGAAATATTATTAGTCAAAAATTCTACTACAATAATTAATTTCATGGAATTAAAACAATCTATTGACATCTATATAATTTGAATAAAATTAAAATTAAAAGAAAATTATATAATCAAATTACTTTATAAATTAATTTTAATTATTTAAGTTGTGATAATTTAAATTACTTTCTTACTTTAGTAATAAACTTTTCTAGAAAAGTCATATAAAACGCATAAAAAATTTCTTAAAGCTTCTAATCTAAGCATGTGCCCTGAAGGGTGAATAACTCTACTTATTACCATTATCAAAGTTTTTATACTAGCAGAATTTCTAAATCGACAGAGGACAGCAGTAAACAGTGAGATCGAATTCTCTCAAAGATATAATTGAATAAAACTACTTCAATAGCTGAAAAAAGATTAACTAGAAAAATTTTACACAATTAAATTTTTTTTAAAAATCTCTTACTTCCCCCGTGAAGTACTGATCTAAAGTCATGCAAAGAATGTGCGTATAAAAAATACAATAACTTTCTATAAATTTATAAAAGGAAAGAAAGTAAAAGAGATTTCAATGCTTTACAATGATAATAGGAAACTTCACGCTCACAAACAAAGAATTCAATATAAATGGGAAATAAATTATTTTTCACTCGATAAAAAAAAACCTTTATAATTTGAATATGCAGAATTTATAAAATAAATATTTCCCAATGCGCGCGACCAGAATAATACTTAGAAAAAAAATAACCAAACTAAAAAAGGAGCGTTAGTAAAAAGTCTACAAACGAAAACAATCCATCGGTAAAATTTTAATTTTAAAATTGCTATTTTGTATTTATTAACGAGTACAGCAAAATTTAAGATATACACAACTTTCAACAAACTTAAACATTTATAAAATTAAATTTCAACTAATGGCAAAATAAAGATTTACCAAGAAGGCGTAAGATTTTCAAGAGTTTCAAATAACGTCTCAGCTGCAGCGTTATGAAGGCATTCCTAGGAAGTTATAAAAAATTAAATCTCGCAACTATAATATGATAGATTCTAATAACTATGCATACTAACTATTATTAATCACTCCAGAAAACAAAAACTCTTTAGTAGTACTAAAGTTAAGAGAAAATTACTAAAAGTTATAGTAGTTGAAGTTAAAAATTATTAGGAGGTCAAAAGGCATTAAACGCAAGTATGATAACTATTTGTTTATATAAATTTTAATTTTAAAACAAAGAATTTTAACAAAATTTTGTAGTCTAAAATTTAATAATAATTTATAAATTTGTGCAAAAAGTGTATAATAGTGATAAAATCATAATAATAATATGTTTTTGTAAAGCTAATTACTAGTAATTACTTTAACCCATTGCTCAGAGACAATTTTTGAAGCATCTTTATTACTTAACGCTTTTACTCCGAAAGAGCTGCGTCGGCTGTTATAGTAAAGAGTGGTAGAAGAGGAATAAACAATAATGTTAAAAATATATTAGATGAACCTTGGGAAGGAGTCTTTCCCGTTAATTAGAGCTTGTTCTTCTAAAGTAGCTTTTCTTATCTTTACAGGGATCGTTAGTATATATTAAAAACAAAATTTTATTAATATTAAGAAAGTCAACATTATTAAATTTTTAAATTACAGAAAAGTCATTTGGTTGATTTAGCAAAGGTTGCTGATCTCGTATCTCTTCAGATATTCTTAAAATCTGAATAAAGATATATGGCAACCCATAAATTAAACCACAAAGAGCTTAATATACATTGCGTAGTGACGGTGAAGTAGTAGGCATTCAAGGAGGCCCACTACTTGTGCGGAGGGGAGACAGCTAAGGAAATGTAAACTTTAGTAGAGATATGGCATTGGTTGAGATGCCGATTTTTAAATGGTGGCTGTTAGAAGTCCCCTTAAGGAAACAGGAAGGTGTACAGAATTATCTCTTACCCTCAACAAATAACTATATTAAGTTTATTCCATGATATTCGCCTCACAGCCCTAAGTAACCTAGGAAACTATTATCAAGGTATCAAGATTGGCAGAATCAATATATTTATATTAATAGGTCTCATATACTTTGTACGATCTCTCCAAGATATCTATTAATTGACAGAGCGAATAAAAGTAATTTTACTTATACCCATTCCCATTCTGCTTATGCGTACTAATGAGGATAATAAAAGGGTGTTTAACAAATTAAATCTGCTAACCACTTTAGAAGACCCACCAAACTCAACTTATCTGAGGGCTATTTACTGAAAGAGAGCCAGACCATCAGTTCTTTTTCTAAAATGCTTGTGTTGTTACAGAAAACAAGTTAATCGGATGGTCCACAAAAACTTAGTCGAGGACGCACCTCAAACCCACTAATATGCAGAAACAGTGCTTTTATCATGTTAATAAATTATATAATTTTTTAGCAGGCGATGAGTTATAAATTAGTGGTTCGGGTCTATCTCTCAACTTGAACAAAATTAAACTGCATAAAACACTATTTTTTTAAGGATGTTTACAGAAACTTCTTGGTTTATAAGTCTTTTTTAGCTACTTTGTAAAAGGCAGACTCGTGTATTTAAGAACTGGTTATGAACCATAAGGTTTTTATAATAAAAAGTTAGATGCTTATTTCTGTTATTAACCTGAATATAAATAATAAAAACACCGACTTACTATATTAGGTACAATACCAAATATGAAAAATTACTATAATATTTTGAAGAAATAGTGTAGTTCAAATTACTTAATATATAATTAATAATATAGTAGTAACAATACCTATATTAATATAGTGATAGTTCAATATAGTACAGTAAATTATAGTAATTGATTTATTAATAACAGTTACAACAATAGTAATAAAGTGGGCTTTATATTAACTTTTTTAGCCACTGAAGATTTATCTATTAATTTACGGGGAAAAAGGTTGTTACAGAAGCTTTGATATGCGCATTGATTTTTCTGTAAAGCAGGTTTTTTGGCAAGCCTTGCTGCATGGAGACAAGGACCTCATCTCAAAGAACTTAGATTAAACAGTTACAATTACTTATAAGTATTTTAATGTACTGCTGCGATAAATAAGTAGACTACGGCTCGTTGCTCACTTTAAGAGTCGACCTGCATTGTACATATAATATTTATTATTGAATAGAATAAATAACCTAAGCTCGAAGATGCCGAGCAACTATTAAAGCTTAAATTAAAAATAAAGTTAGGAGCTCTAAATTTATTTTAATCATAGCTTAAGTAAAATCAATTCAATGAAAAATATTGATTGGTTGCTCTCAAGGGTAAAGACAATTCTCACTAGGCAAGGATACCAAAGTCTCCCAAATTACTTTTGCCGATCCTCTTCCTACCTCAGAGTGCAAAAGCTTAAAATAAGGGATATATTCAACCTTTACCTCCTTGTGTTTTTTACAGCTTCCAGATCTTATTTGCTATACTAAAATAAAGAGTTGGGAGTTGGTAAGAAAGGGCCGTGCTGGCGCACCAGTCAAAAATCTTAGGTATTATAAACTTTGCCTGAAGTTGCCTTTAGAGAATTTCACCGGCCGAGCACGCCTACTAAACTATCACTAATCCGCGCCCTCTATTAAACTGAAACTATTGCCGTTAATTATGGGGATGCTTTAATTTATGCTAGAATATCTACCAAAATACCAATACAGCTGACCCTGGATCCTTTATTATTAAATCAAGCTTGCAAGGCTGTGCAAATAACCTCTAAAAGTATGTGGTGCAGCAGAGTTAAATTCAAATGATCTTCAGACCTGACAAATATAAATTAAGAATGCTCAGAACTACGCAGGCAAAGAAAATAATGCAATTGTATAGTTATAAACAGGTTTCGACATTGATTCGGTGAATTACTATTGCCGCGAATAGATCTTGAATAATTAAGAGCTTCGGTGAAAAATGAACGCACTTTCTATACAATATCACTGACATACAGGATGAGAGAGAAGCTACTCCCAAATACCAAGCTTTCCATAACTTATATTATTATTAATATACTACGTTATTTTACCTATAAAAAATAATATATTCGACTTAATAAATTTTCTTAATAAAGTTCTCTAGTATTAAAAATAGTATAGTATACTCAAAATGTATAATATAATCTATAACTATTATAAAAGTAACCTTTGGTACAAATATGAAATTAAAGAAAAATAAATTATTAAACTATTATATATATATAATAATGCATACACGAGTCATAAAAATCTATTATCTAAACCATAAGTTCAAAAAAGGTTGCCTTGTTACATACGCTAGCGCCCTTCCAGAAAAAATAAAATGAATATGCTAATTTTTTGTAAGTTTAATAAAGCTGTGTAGTATTTTTACAACACCAAAATAAAATTCTTCTTAAATTTACTAATCTTCAGCTGTAGTATTCCTAGTATATACCAAGAGAGAAGAGTGGCGAATCACAGGTAGAATAAGGCCCTCCTTTTCAAGTTGTGCAATTGCTTGTCTAGCAAGAGAGCCGCGAATGCGGAGACGCTCAGAAACAACAGCGGCCGTAATAAGTTTGTAAGAGGGTACCTAAGCAGCTTAACAGCTTTAAAACATATAGAAGCTAATAATAATACCTCCTTCCTCAACTTTTCGTAGGTTTGTTCATTAAATAAAACCGCATTGTTAAGTTTATCTTTAGTTTTTCCTTTCGACCACTTTTTCTTTCTTCCTTTTCCTCCAGAAAGAGCAGCTGCAGCCTTTTCAGCCTTTGACTTTTGTTGTTTAGGTGGCATTCCTGTACTATATAAGAGACCGAAAAAAAAACAGCGGTAGGAAGGGAAAAGCGAGAGCAAAGTACCACAGTGTCTACCATCCACTTTTTATCATCCCGCATGTCACCTCAAGAGAGCATAGAATGCGATGGCTGGTGCCCTTAATGGCGTAAAGAATAGATTTAAAATAGGTTCTGAAACTTTCGGCCGCGTCTACTGCAAAATTTAATTTATAAAAGTTAATTAAGGATGTTAAAGTATTTTCATTGTAAAAATTTAAGTTTGTCTTATAACCAGAAACTTAGGTCATCAAATTAAGTCACATATTTATCTAAAGGACCATAACTTCAATTAATAAAATATTGGTCACCGAATTTCTATTTAATCATCTAATTTTTTGCTTACAAACAATACAGTAGTAGTTGCCTGGGTGGGTGATGTGAGTAAACTAATGAAGCTACTTTTTTACTTACTTCTTCGTTGTTCGCTAAAACATAGTTTTTCGATCTAACATTCCAAGTTATTTATCTATAAATATTTATAATTATGCTTACATAAACTAAAAGGTTGCAGTACATAGGTCTTAAACCATTTAAGATAACTTTAAAAATAAGATATCGTATTTTCTGCATAATGTCATTAATTGACGTGCGCGCGGTAAAAGGAGTATAAGTTAAAAATAGAACATGTAAGCATTAATAGGTTTAGAAATTTTTAGTAAACGGAGAAGAGAGCTACAACTGCGAGTAACAGCGCGTCACAAAGTAAATGGGGAAAGAATACCAAAACTAAATGATAAAGTGATGCAAGCTAGAATCTGCAAATATCAACAAAGACTACAACAATATTTTTAGTTTACAGATGGTTGGCCGCTCTAAAATTGTACTAAGGGAGTAGAATACATTGCAGCTCTAATTTCTTTTTTAAAGAAAAGATTTTCACTAAAAGAAAGACTTGGTGGTACTACTTTCACCATGGGCGTATTGATGGTGAAATGTGTTAAAGCTGTTTTTTAAATGCATAGGAGAATTTAATACTCTATGACATATTTTTTGAAAAACAAATAATTTTTTTGGCTGGCTGAACCTAAAACTTAAAACAAAGGGGGTTGATCACCAGAAGTTGGGGATATATAGTGGCGTTATCATTAGGAGGCCATCATCGTCGTCAACAAACCAATAAAAGTTGCATACCTGCACACTACACAGTAAAAAAATATATGAAAAATGTAAAAAAGTTTCTATAGGCTGCTAAAAAAGCTTTTTGTAGAAATGCACACTAACCTTTTTATTACCTAATGAATATAGGAAAAAAGCTCTAAGCAGAGATACAAGCGCCATGTGATACATTAAATATGATAATAAAGATAGTGTTGACTAACGAAAAAAGGCAATATCTCAGACATGAACTCAAACTCATCAGTTTAGTGCTAAACATGCTTACGAAGCTAAACTGAAAGAAGAAAAAAATAGTATCACACTCCTATTAATTATCCTCGTAACTAGGTGTAACTGAATCTCTGAGCCTTAACAAACGACCTTTTAAATTTCATAAAATGGTTCTAGAAGACTTCCCTAAGTTCCTCCGTTTGTTAAAAACTCATTTTCAACATAGAAAAACGTGACGCAAGTGGAGCAAAAATTATTTAAGGACTGCGTTACACCCTAGACATAGGAATTGCTTTATAGAAAACATAAAATACTACAGCACCATTTTGAGAACTTTGCTCACGTCGTAGGAACGCTATGATAAGTAAAAATAAAAACCCGTTTTACTTTACACAAGGCCACTGCCAGTAACTACCAAAAAGCGCGATTTATTAAAATTACTTCCATGCAATGAAGCAAAATTTTATACAAGGATAAAATTTTAAACGTATGGACAATAATTTTTGTTTTTCTATACCCTTAAAAAATTTTATAAAAATTAATAATAATAATAATAATAATAATAATAATAATAAAATTATGTTGTTCATTTATTTAATGAAGAAAATGTATTGTGGGATAATGTTTTAACGGTACAAAGATCAAAAGGGCTATAAGCAGCCGGCCGGGCGAAAAAAAAGGTATAACCCCCTTTCGTAATTTTTTACATTACAATTTTCAAAAAAAAAAATTTTAGATTTTTATGTTAACACAAAACTAAACACACGAGCTTAAAAACTTAAGATAAAAAAGAATTATTAACTTCATTTTCTTAAAAAACTTCTAAAATTTCTTTTCCGCACAAGCGTCAACTAAAACAGAATAGTACAAAAGGAGGTATTTTAAATATACATCTTGTTGCAAATATTAAATTATATGATACTTCCTATTTTAACACTCACTAATTTGGTGGCTTCGAACATGTGAGAATTTAAACAATAACAATTTTTTTTCAAGGCCACTATCTTTCAGTGGCGCCGCCGCTTGGTCAATTTATTTTGGTGTTTGTGTTTCTATATACTTACTTTTTGTCTGTCTTATAAACTTCTATTTGATGATAACAAATACGATAGGAATTGCCGTCTTACTATTTTCTGACGATAAATAGATATCTGACTAACTTTTCTAATATATATACACATAACTAACTATGGATAATATAACTACCTTTTTACCATATGTATAGTAACAGTGAGAATTTAACTGTTTGCCGTACGGATTCGCTTAAAAGCTTTTTTGGTGAGTCTTACTTTTTTTTAAAAAACTTGTTTAGTAAAAAAAATTCATAGCTACTTTAAAAAAAAGTTATAATTTTCTTGTGTATAGGCTCCCCTTCCTCACTAAGTTTTATACTTATATTTTTTTTAATTCTAAATAATTTCGGGCTTCTCACAGCTTATTTTAACTTTTTTAAATTATTTTATAGTCTGATGGAAGTTGAAGTTGACACGAACTTTCACCTTGAAATATCTTGATCTTTTATGCCTTGCTTTTTTAAATTTTTTTTTGGATTATGTTCAAAAAGTACTTTGTAAATAAATTTATCATTAAGCTATTAGTTTTTGTTTAAGATTTTGTGAGAATTATGGTTAAATACACGGTAATTTGGTATAGTTTTACTGGTTTAGTAGAAGGTAATGTCTGCTCAGCGCGCCTGCACCTGCAGAGGACGGAAGCGAGACGTTTATAGTTATAGTCAAAATTAAACTTCAGGAGTAAGTCGTAAACAAAATTACTACTGAAAAAGCACAAAAAAGGGGGCTTAAGTAACTAGTCTATTTCCTCTTTAGAGTTGCCTTACCCTGTTCGAGTGCTGCGTAGTAGTACCAACGTGGCCGGCGTATGGTGTTTTTACACGTAAGGTTCGTTCGAGTGAAACCTCGGCGTCATCTTTATTGCCAAGAAGTCTCACAACACTTTAACTCGCTGCTTGAGGGGCACTAAGTTAACACCGCGGAGTAGAGAAACTTCCTCGACGGTTCTGCATTGGGATAACGCAAACTTATATTCTGTAGAGTTAGCAGAGTGGTGTTACCGCTGTGAGCAAACTGCGATGAAGAAGCATTTCGTCATGTTCATTGCATTTGCATTTCCTATCAGAGTCACCGAACAGTTTCTAGCAGATAAATATATAAGTACTCCCCGAATTCGAAACTTAAACTTGTAATTGCTTTAAACGCTGTACAAAAAACGATTTCAGGCTAATCGACTAAGTTCTAAATAAATAGCTGAATGCTCTGCTTATTATTCTGCTGCACAATTGTCTTAACCTAATGCCTGACAGCACGCAAAGCATCGCCAAGTGGGTGTGAGCAATCAATCCAGAGCCTTTTACGATTAACTATCGTTAAGTCTCTACCGGCAAAAAGTCCGCCAAGTCTTAGGACCTTCTCGCCGGGGCCTCATCCATATTGCCGTCCCACTCACCTTGGCCCGTACTTCGTGCCAAAGAGTGTGGTTGGCGTATCTTTTTAAAATCAATTATTGGTAAGTTGATAAAAAGCGGTTAAACAAAACCTTGTAATTGGTTGTAGTCTTCTTATCGCGCGTTTCGTGGCAGCTTCGACGGCCTTGGCGGGAACGTCCGCTTTTGCGGTAGCAAATCCAGCAATGCCGTTCTCTGTGAAAGTGTACTAAAAAGAAAACCTCCATGTAAAAAGGAACACGGATTTTACTGTTTCCAACAACCACAACAGCAACTGTGGAACGCACTTTTCCGGTGCTTGTTTGATGGGAGACTTGGCGTAGATCAACAAGATAGCGATAAAGGCCGTGAGAGCGAAGTAACTAGGAAAAGTAAGCTCAACAAAAAAGTTATTGTTATCTCATATAAATGCAATAAGGCAAAAGAGCTGCTTTAGTTAAGGATAAATTCTTAATTGCTAGAATTTTAAATTAATACAAACTTCGTTAATTTGAATTCTTGACTTTCTAGCAAGCCGGCTGCGCTTAATTACATTTTGCGCGTCCTCAGTTCCAACTAACGTAGATATATAAAAAGGGTTACTTCCTAAAAATAAATTATTAGTCGTTAATATGGTTAAAGCATCTTCAGCAGAAGATTTTGCTTAAACATACATTGTTTTGGTTAAAATATACTTTTTAAAATTTATTTTTAGCAGCAATAATTTATTATCCATAAATCAAGTAAATTACCTTCCAAAATTGGATGGAATATTAAAAAATTTACTATTACTTTATGAAAAAATATAAAATATTAGAAATTTTAACTTTCAATATATAAATATTATTGCTTATACAGAGTTATAATATAAATAGTAAATAATCCGTTTAAATTTCTATAGACATTATATACTTGTAAAAACTAAAGACTAACTAAGTGAATTATTGCTGAAGTATTTATAAAATATACAACGCTACAATCTTTCGGTTGTGGAACTTCATTAAATTTGTTAAAAAAATTTTCGGCGGCGCTCATGGGAGACCCCTTGCTTTCATCCTACTCTATGAATGACAGCGTAACGCTACTTCTTATAAATAATTTTATTAACCCATCCTAATTGTTTGTAAAGGTGAAGAAATCGCTCCTCTTGCTCTTCTAAAAGTTTTTTATAAGCTTTTTCATCGCCAGTAGAAGTATTATCAACTATATAAAAACGGCGTTGCTTATGATAATTACAATGAGTAACTAAACGCAATTTTAGAGCTTTTAAATAAAACATAGGTAAGACGGGCCATTTTAGAGCAACTGACATTAATTTATTAATAGCACTCTGCACTAGTAAATCAGCAGTTTTCAATTAGCTATAATGAAAGCACATGTGTATAGCTACACCCTATACAAAATTAAGAGACACTGCCCGGGCATTCTATTAGAGCATGCAACTAAACTAAGAGCTTTTTGCTGCTTTCTCCTTCTTTGTTATGAGGTTCTGCTGATGATAGACTTCCAGGAGGAGAATACTTCCTATTTTGTAGTCGTAACTCGTAGGTAGAGTATATCCATCATAAAAATGATTAACATTAACCCTTATAGGTTACTGGTTACTATCTTCACCACTTGCTGCCTATGTTCAGTTTGAGAGAGTAGGTCTACGGAAATTGACCCTAAACGACAGGCTCGGCTTCTGAAACAATCTCTGGTAAGTTTGAGTACCATGTTTTACGAATAAGGAGGCATTAAACAAAATATAAGAAAGTGGTAAATTTAGTTACTAGTGAAAGTAAAACAAATCTATTTTAAGCCCGAGAGTTTTGCCCGTTAAGGGGGTTAAAAAAATGCCTAACAAATTTTTAATTTAATTAAATGATATACTATGCCTTTATACTTCATCATTAAATCTTCCCTTTTCTTTTTCTCCTAATGAGGTCGGTATCGATTGTTTATAATTTTATAACCTAAGCGACTCTCGATTGACACTCCCTGTATTATAGCAGACAACACTAGATCTGATACGGTTTACTTCACATTAAAGATTGGATACAATAGTACTCATTAAAAAAGCTTTTTAGGGTACTTACTTAAAACAAGGTAAAAACCACTACTAAATTTGAAAAATGAAGGCATGTACGACTACGAAAGCACCATGGTATATATATATTTTTTTAATTTATTGTAGCCAGTAACACTAAAATTTTTGTAGAGATAAAATGTGAAATTATAATTCCACGTTTAAAAGTTTATCAAAGAATTTGTATATAGGTAAAATCAACTTAGCAATCACATAAAACAAGAAAGCCCGAGAAAAGACCAAGTCACTATATAAATGTCGCAAAGAAAAGATTCCAGCGTAGATGTCATTGCCTTATTTCTATGACCAATAAGCTAAGAGAGCTAAACCGCTTCACGCTTTTTTGTTACTAGTGGTCTACTTTTGTAAAAATATAGAACTTATTTGCTTTATAATTTATTTTCGCGTCTTACCAATTCCTGATGCGCATTTGCTTAGTTAGCTTATAGGAGTCGCTTATTCTCTTAATGCTAAACTTGACTTTCTTGATCTAAAATTCAGTACATTTTAAACAGATTGAGAGTTTCTTGCTCTACCGGCCAAAGAAGTAGAGAAAAGAAATTTTACAAAAAAATTAATTTAAATTTTAAAGGTATAAATTAGAAGTTTACTGTCCAAATAGGTAAACGAAAAAAATTTAAAATTAGTAAAGTACGGTTTCAAAAAAGCTTAAAGACTACTAAAGCTAAAGTTTTAACAACTAGAAAATATAAATTAAATCTCACCTGACACGAAAGGGAGCTGCAAACGCACTACATTCCAGTCGTTTAGCGCTCCCCAGAGGAAAGCTTTAGCTTGGGTGTAGCCATTACCAATCTGCATCATTATTTTTCATAACAAGGAGTGCTCTTAAAAAAAAACGGCCACTCCAAGGAACCAAAATAAATGGAGTGGAGTATCTGTGGTCTTACTGGAATCAAGACTAAACTTGAAGATCCCGGCCATGGAATTAGCACCTGAGAGAAATCTTTTAAAGATAAAAAAGAAACCTAATGGACATATGGACATATCATCCGACTTTAAAGAGCGATTTAATTGTTTGATAGAAAGTCTCTCAAATCATTCTAGCGAATGCTACATTTCAGAAAGTATAAACTCGACAGATTAACTAGTGCGCTTACGGAAAACATCAACTGGAAAATTTTTTCAAAGAAAAAGCAACGCTCTCATGCTGAAAAACTTAATGGGCAACAAGTTAAATTCGAAGCCCTAGTAAGGTAAGCCGAGGTATGACAGCTTGCCAAATTTAAGAACAAAAAGAGATTTCAAACGCATCAAAGTACACAGAAATATAGAGGCAGCAACTGCGGTAAAAAATCACCTGATTACAAATTGTCTTTTTAAGGAGAACGCAAAAAATAATTGCCTGAAATGCGGAAACTTGGGTTATAACGAAAAAGATTGCCACTACAAATAACGAATTTACCATAAACGTGGAAAAAATCGGCCATAACAAAAGATAAGTCTCTCGGAACCAATACCAACTTTGTGAAACAAACGGTACTATAAGAGAAACGCTATTATTTACCTCAGCGCTAGTAACAGCTCTTTGAATAATAATAGCGTATTAGATACTGGGTCACTGTCATGTGGTCAGTAACCCTAAACTTATCAAAGTAATTTTAGAAAAAAATCTATGGTCCGGTGCAAGGTTTTCGGAGATTCTAATGCGCGAGGAGAAGGATATTTATTTGAAGTAGAACGCATTTAAATCCAAAATAAGTAAGCGTAGGAAAGTTATGCGACAAAAAAATGCTATAACATTTGATAAAAACGTAGCATTATTAGTAAAAAAGGACAACAAATTCGACCAATCTATATCGGGGCTGCAATTAAGAACAATTGCCATAAGGAAAGAGGATGGCTTGTGTCATTTCTGGACCGGGTCTGTAGCCCCCATGCGGTTAAGCGCGGGTGGCCCGAGCACTGGACGCATTGGACAAACCAAAATGAACAACTAATGGAATTAAAGTTCGCGAACATAAATGCAGACGCAAAGTGTGAAATCTGCGCAGAAGTCAACATTAACTGGGAGAAATTTCTAACGAAAACAGGTACAGTTCAAATGGGAATACACGCAATATAAACAAGAAACAGAATGATCCCATTTGCGCGCTATGTTGACGAAATTAACACGGATAGAATTAGCAGCTCCCTTGACCTTACTGATGACGATGAATTCTCTAAGGGACAAACAATACTAGAGACACCCAATACAAAGCATAAAAATATCTCTCCAACTAACATCGAAACTAAACAACTAAAGGCTAAATGGTAATATTTGAATCCTATCGAATGGAAAAACAATATGGTATGAAAAGAAGATAGCCGAGGTTAAACGAAGACGATACCAAGTTAACTTCCATTATGGGGACATCTGCAATGACGTTAAAGGTACTGAATGCATCCGGTTGTCATGATAATAGAGCGCCTACCTCCCGCTCCACAATTATAAACCCCAACTAGTCCTTATTGTGCTTTAAACGATGTTAACTGGAGCAATGGGATACGAAATGAATTTCAATCCCTTAAAGAGAATAATTCGTGGACTGTAGTGTTCAAAAAGGACAACACTTAAAAGCAAGAATTTGATTTGAAGGATTTTTGAAAACTCATGGCGTTGATTACTACTAGACTACTAGTCTTGTGATTAAAAAGAAACTGCCAGGCTATTCTGGCAGTTCATCAGCTTTAAACTTACACATTGCAAATTGGCTTCAAAAATGTCTATATCAACGTAAACATGGATATCCAAACTTAACGTTAAAAAATCTATAGGCTTCCATTTAGTATATAAATAAGATACGGCGAATAAATGTTTAATACTCAGTAAAGCTTTATATGGGACGAAACAAGGCGGCCACTAGGGTTTGAGTTAATAGAGAGCAAAAACACAGGCGTTGGTCTAAAACAGCCAAAACTTGATCCATCCGTATTCTACATTCCCGAACAAATTTTTACCTGCATAATAATTCTCCTTGTGGACGATATACGACTTTTTACAAACGATACGGAGAAGTCAAAAAGACTTGATAACTCGATTGAATTCGAGTGCAAGTGGTCACAGCAAGTAAGTTAATTAAATTGATATCAACGAAACAGAGCATTCAATTTCTTTTCGGCAAAGCTCGATAAACGATGAAGCCTTTAAAGAGTTTGACCTAGAAGAAGCAAAATTCACCTCCTATCCTATGAGCAACACAAAAATTAAAGAAGTTGGACCAAATTTCTTATCACTGTCCCTATAAACGAACCTTCACTTCAGTATATCTGCTGTTTCAACAACTAACAATACCCAGCTCAGAGCATTGAAAAGCGTCTAGTCAAATACTATGATACTTATCCGTAATAAAAAAGCTATCCTAGAGGCCAAAAGAGGAAAGAATTTGGTGCTCAGGATACACACGGACGCCGGTTACGCATCCGAGTTCGACGAAAAGAGCAGATCTGGTTTCGGAGAGCAATCAGTTTATTCCCTAAGAGGAAGGGTACTAATACCTTTAGGGAAGAATATACTGTGTACAAATGTGGACAAAAAAAAAGTTAGAAACGCGTGTGTAGTCACATGTTATCTAATAATAAAGACACCTAGTACGGACATGCGATATAATAACAATTACCACGAGCTATGAGCATGTGGCTTATGAGAGTTAACTCTTATATCTGGCACCATAATTAAAATAATGGACGCCTAATAACTTGGGGATCTAGACGCCAAAGAAATTATTTAAACGTAAACTTTAGACCTTAGACAACCCAGATCTCGAACATGGCTTGGATCGTTATCTTTATTTTTTTAACATGATTTTCTTGTCAGTAACATTTGCCTGTATATCCCAACTTTAGAATTCCGTTATCTCAAATTTCTGAAAACCTAGCGGGGTTCTTCCAATTTTCATCTTTTGATCTGTTTATAGAAATTAAATATACACGCAAGCGCCTACCGTAAAATCATCTTTATCGACGACCCCCCTGTCATATTATCTTTTCATAACACTTTTGAAACTGCTTTTGTTTGTTATCCCAGCTTTTTTTTAATCTTATGTTACCGAACAATGTCAGCGCGTCTTTTATAAATTTCCTAAAGTATGATCATTTCTCATTCAACAATTCTTCTATAACCATAAACATTGAACTGACACCCAAAACACTAGGAATTTAGTCATGGCCATAAATGTAATCGTCTAATAAAGTAGTTTACTATCTTTTAACTAGATTCCAATAAAGCTTTTTCAAGGGTTTAAATTGTCCGTTCACACAGAATGTTAGACTGATGGTAATCAGCGGTAATGAAATGCACCTTAACTTCCAACTTAAAAAAAAAATGCTATTAAACCTTTACTTTTAAAGATATATTGACGTTTTAAAGTTATCCATTTTGGTATTTACATTTTAACCCTTTAAACATTTTACAATTGACTATTTTTCTACTTTTTGTACTGCTTGAGTTCAAATATAACTAGTGTATTTATTAATTATGATCAAAACGCTATTATAACCTGTGGACCTAGTCACCACCTGTATATCCAAGGATACGCGTTTTAGCCGTTTTTAGATATCGTTATTTATCGGAGTTCTTCGCATGGCTTACGCCTTTTGTTTCCAAAACCTTTCAGTTATCTATAAGCTTTTTAAAACTTTCCTTTTTAATTTTTTTTTTCTAAATGAAACCTCTCTTCCTGTATATTTTTACCCTTTAATTATTTTCAAATCTAAGTTCATCCGTTGCATTTCGCAAACTGTATATACTTTTGGCATGGTCTCATATCGGCAATAACATTGTTTTTTCACGGAATATATTTTAGTATCCAGTCAATATTACTCAATAATTTTAATTACGGTAACTCTCTTGCTTCTCACTGTAATAGCATAGTGTTCGTACTGATAGATATGGAAGACTCTTACGATCAGTTTCTATAACCAACGGCTTGCTAGTAAGTTAAATGAATCCATGGGTTTGTTAGTGCACCGCACCATGGCGAACGCTCCTCTATCTTTGGCACTACACTTTTTTTTGTGCATCGTTAAACTGAGAACTGACATTCACTATGTAATGCAATCGTCCATCATAGCTGTGAACTTCACCCATACTTAAGACATCGCTTGCATCCGTTTGTAAAATTAACTCGTAATCACTGTTTGCATGCTTTACGCACAACATTCTTTGGAAAGTCGAATATGCTGTTCCATGCAGCCTCTTGCCCTCTTTTCATTCAAATTTAGCCTTTTAAAAAAAAAATTTGCAAGGGGTTTAGTTACGATGGCATTGTTGAGGATATTATAATTTCAAAAATTCAGTGCTAGAATGAAACTTAACTTCTTCTTATTTTTCGGTCTCGGCATATATTTAACTGTACTTTATCTTCACTCATTCTTACATCTGAATTTGTGAGTTCTCTTACTAACCATTTAACTGAAGACCTTGCAAAATATCACTTCTCAAGTCTAGTTTTAACGTTAATTTATTTAATTTTTTAACTAGATCACGCAACCTCCTATAACGTTCCACTTTGGAATTGTGAGTCATTAAAGACAATTGTCAACGTAACATGCATATCTATAAGGTCAGCCGTAATGAAATCCATACTTTTTTTGCTGACTTAACTAAAAGCTAGCACATTGCATTGCACACACCTACCGTCCGGCACAGTAAATGCAAAATATTATCTTGATGGTGGATGTAGATGTATTCCTCTTTGATCCGATCCTTTAGCATTACCTAAGGTGCTAAATATCTTTTTACCTCTTACCGAAATATTAATATTCCACTCATTCGGTGCCCGGTATCTTTCCACGCCATACCCGTCATTTAACCCTTTTAAGGCAGTACACATTTTCATAAACTTCTCTGGTGTTTGTTTATTTCTTTTGGGTTATCATTTTCAATAATTAGTTTTTCACCCCAACTTGCATATAATCTCTTGACATGTGGGTGTATCTTCTAAATATTCCGCTTTTAATTGCTTCTCACACTCCCGCCTGATGACCTTAACCTTAGTTTCGTATTTGAACCAGGCCGGGGAAGATTTTTTCTCTAACTTTCAGAATGACACATTTTGATTTTTTTTACTAACTTTGGAGTTCCACCTTTAATAGTATATTCTTCGAACCAAAATTTTAACATCTTTTATTTTAATTCTTTTGCGTCTAAAGCCCATTAGCTCTCGCTCTATATCTTCTAAGGCCATTTACCCGTTAACCCTCTTCCCAACATCAAAATTGCCGACTACTAGGTCATCTGCCCTTTTATCGAAAAAGATCTCTTCCTTGCTTTCTCCCTCTATACGTTTTCCATTACTGATTTGTATTATTAAAACTCATGATTCCAGACAAAAACTTAAGATTATTTTTTCAAGTAGTATGTCCAATCCTCTTCCTAGTAAGTGATCTACAACGTTCGACATAACATCTCGAAAAACGCCATATAATGACATATATACCGTCAAGACAGGTCCCCCATCCTAATACAGAATTCTTATCTTTTTGATAAATAAGTTTTACTTATAAGGTCATACCTGTAAATATAGTTTAACAATTTTTTTCCTCAAAATTAGGATTACATCCTAACGACAAGATGTCGCCACTATTTCTTCTTTAAATACTCTTAGGCCCATTTATAGGCTAACTTTCATTGCCTCT